TTATACATTAAACTCTTCAACTGCTTCTTCTCTCTCTCAAAATGTCAAAATATAACACATCTGAGGTAAAGTTTTTGAGTTTTTTTTTATTTGACACAACTTGTAAAGTAGAAATTTGCCCTGTGAAGTGAACGCACGCTGTCCTCACAGCACGTAGCGATGTGTAGCTAGCCAGCTAACAAACGACTAGAACAAAAACAAAAATCTTCACCCAAGGCTTGCTTTTCTTACCTGAAGATCTTTAGAAATGTTTTAGCACCATAACTACAATATGCAGAAAAACAAATAATACATTACTAACTAATACACACATTTTAGCATCACGCTTAGGGTTAACTGCTGTTGGAGACTAAATAAATATGACACTTTTCCTGTTAAACTGAAGTAGTTGTCATTTTCCATGGGATTTTTTAAAATTTAAGCACGATAGGAGATATGTGACATTAGTAACCAAAAATGTTTTAGTTTTTCTTTTTTGATGAGAGGGGCACACAGCAAATATCGGTATTGGTTTGTATCGGTATCGGAAAATGAGACAGACAACATCGGGATATCGTAAAAAATCCAATATCGCCTATCCCTACTTCTAAACCATTCTTATAAAAGTTAGAACTAAAGCTTAGATGATGCACCTTTTGTCAGTAAGAAATGTTTCTCAAAGAAATAATGATCAGTTTGACAAAGGGCTGGGTAATAAATTGAAAATTTATCGAAAAATTTCCCATATCATTAAATTTCATAATAAAAAAATGAAAAGATGTGTGTAGATTGGCAACGTTCATGTCCCTTTAAGAAGCGGAACCACCTTGAGTCACGTAAAAATGTTCATGTCCCTTTAAGAAGTGGAACCACCTTGAGTCACGTAAAAATGTTCATGTCCCTTTAAGAAGTGATACACCTTCAGTCATAAAAATGTGACTCAATGGCTGTGTTCGAGATGAGCCAGTTCTGTGCAGATTAGACCAGCGGTGATCGGTGAGCAGTGCATGCCGGTTAGATTTGTGTCCGACTTGACGCCGACTTGCTCTGACGTCATGCATACGTAGGCAACGATAACCTGCAGATTTTGGAGCAAGGCGCTGCAGTTGCTCTCCCTCGGCTGTAAAACCTAGGGGGTGACGGGAAACGCCTGGCTCTCACCTGATCTAAGATCTGATTGGTTCATATTTTGATCCAAACATCCGGTGGTAGAACATGAAATGTTAGTTGGTCACATGTATTCTGTAAATCATGTTATGTTGATGATGACAACTATATAGGCCACAAAGAGAAATGTGTTTTGTTTTCTTTTGTCACGTTTCCTATGAGCACACTAAACCTACAGCTGCTAACCTTTACTTATTATTACAGTCATGTCTTCATATACAATATATGATATCCGATATCCACAAGCACGTGAGGATGTGTTTCAGCTGCTAACAGGCACCAGAATTAAAATTGAAAATTAAACAAGTGTGAACGCTAACGCGATATCTTCAGCCATCGTCACCCCCGAGCTACACATGCAGGAAATTGTGTCCGACTTAAACGCCGGTGTCGGTACAGTATCTGCTCGGGTGCAAGATCGGCTCGGGGTCCTTCGACTGCCGATGACGTCAAAGTACGGCAAACCCACTCGGACAAAATACACTACACATCTATACTGTTGGAAAGAATTTAGCAGTTTCGTTATTAAAATAATGTTTCTTAAGACGTAAGTTTGTGTTTATAATAGTATTTGTAAAATAAAACACTATATTTGATTCATGTTGAACTCCTCTTTGAGCACATCCCTTGAAGGATCATAGGTATTAGCAACACCTGTGGAATTGTATTTGCAGGAAAGAAGTGTGTCCCGTTTATTGAAGTATTTGTGTTGAGTTTTTGACGTCTTGTCCATGCGTAGTTCAGTTACGCTCATAGCTGCTAGCAGGGGCGGATCTACAAAATTATTGATGGGGTGGCAGAAGAGGGGCAAACATTTTTCTAGGGTGGCAATACACACACACACACACACACACACACACACACACACACACACACACACACACACACACACACACACTATTTCACTGCACTGAGATATTGTACTTTGGTTCTATTGTTCACTCAGAAACACGTTTTCCTTTTTCTTTTCCCAGTATTTACATATTCATTTGTTTTGGGTCCTCATTTAATAAGCTTAAAGGCCCATCACGAAAATAAAACAAATAAAATTATATCCTTCCTACAACAGCTGAATGCGGCAGATTCCATGTTGCTCAGCAAAACAATTTACACATTCATCAAGATCCAAAGATTTTGCCCGTTTTGATTCAATGCTGAGTACAGCCTAGCTTCATAGTCTTTTCTCTGTCAAAGCAGACTGCAAATAGGTCTTTATGAGCCTGAGAGTTGAAAAACTTTGATTTTTCTTGAATTTATAGCTGCCAGCTGGGGTGGCAGCAGGGGTAGCAAGGCTTTCTTTTAGGGTGGCAACTGCCACCCTATGCCACCCCTGTAGATCCGCCCCTGGCTGCTAGCCAAAGCTCTGGAGTTAAAAGTTTTCTGGCTTTACCTGTCTGTACTTATTTGATTGATGGTAGTTTTACTTTCTATTAGACTCCAAATGTAATCATTTGGCACGTTTCTAATTCATAATAATGTAATCGGCGATATTAGCATTAGCATTCCTATGGGTTTTTCCATGTATATTAGCATTGCGCTAACCACTCGCTGCCAAATTGCAGCCTTTGCCATTAGAAAATCTTCTTTTGTCACATCGCAATTTAATTGCACATGCAGTTAATCGTTCAGCCCTATTATACTTGCAGCTCTATGCTAAAAGTGTATTTTCAAAGAGGTAATGATGGATTTCTTTGTAAAAGTTGTCCATCTTTCCAATAGAAAAAATTTGCCTGGACCAACGTCACGTGATAACAACGTTACGTGATTACGTAATTCCGTAAGGTTCATGTTCAGCCAATCAACTACTTAGACGTCATCGGCAGTCGACGGACCCGAGCCGATCTTGCAACCAAGCAGATCTTGTACCGACACCGGCTTTCAGCTACTCCCCCTGCTGCTTCTGTCTGCTGGTCTGTTCTCCAGGCAAGGCGCAGCTGACCTCGAACACGGCCATTGTAATTACATGTGACACCCCCAACTGGTGGACAACTTTTGTTTCTGCACATACCTGTAGTTAACATCTATTTATCTTTAACGAGGTGAAATCCTCAATATATCGTGATATTGATTTTAGGCCATATCGCCCAGCCCTTGTTTGACAGCACGTTGTTTTGCTGGGTAATGTGTGTGTGTGTGTGTGTGTGTGTGTGTGTGTGTGTGTGTGTGTTTGACTTAGAGAAGTTTGAGTGATGAACTTCTGGGTGGGATTTTCCACGTCTCACCTTTCAAAGTGGAGATCATAGCCACAAGCCAGAATCGCTCTCCACATGCTGCGGATGTCCTGCTTGGCACGATCAACGGCAAATTTATGAAAACCTTCCAGGGTCAGGTACTTCTCTTCTGGGACTACAGGAAAAAAATACAGAACATCAGAATTATATTATTAAATGATTAATTTTGCCTGAAAATGTAAAACCCAAAATTAAAGATAGCTCTGGCACTCCTGTTTCAGGAAGCAGAAGTTAACCAGAGCGGAAACAGCTAGATTTGGAGTTTTACTCATTATTATTCATGATATGCAAATATCTCGCCTCTGATTGGCTAACAGCAATGCACTCTACCATCGACTCTGTTGATGTTTTATCTCCACAAATAACACAAGCCTGGAGGAGTTCTGCTTTGTGGTAGAGTCGCTAATGCTAACAGTAGGGGCAGCAGTAGCTCATGTGGTGGAGTGGGTTGCCTCATGGGTTCGATTCCAGCTCCCACCAGGGGTATTCTGCTGTTGTGTCCTTGGGTAAGACACTTCACCCAACTTGCCTGCGTTGGTGGTCGTCAGAGGGGCCGACGGCGCCAAATGGCAGCCTTGCCTCTGTCAGACCACCCCAGGGCGGCTGTGGCTACAAAGTAGCTTACCATCACTAGCAGTGTGAATGTGAAAGTGTGCGAAAGCGTCTTTGAGTGTCCTAAACAAGTGCTATATAAGTTTGATGATTATTATTAATATTAGTTAGTTTCTACTAGCTGAGACCGTCTCTGCTGTTTCCTGAACGCTAAATAAACAACCGCCTTCCCTGTGGCGAGCCAAGGTGGGTGAGTCCATGAATGCTAACATACAGTGTGACATAGATCTGTGTAACTTTTTCTGACTCGAGCGTTTCCCTGTCTATTTTCTACTGGTGGCTAATGCAGGGGTAGAAAACTACTCCTTTATTCTGCATGCACTCAGAGCGACTGATCATTTCAGAAAAAGAACACATATTATATGTTTCTCAGTGAACCTCGTCTTTACGTTCCAAAAACACACAAAAGGCAGAAACAGAAACCAAACAGTTCTCATACGCAGCGACAGACAGTGTGGGTTTAACCAACCTTCCATTTTTTTAGCAGGAGATTTTTCTACATCCTTCTCATCTGGTCTGGATTTCTCAGGAGATTTGGGTTTCAGGACTGCCTTCTTCTCACTTAGTGCCGTTCTGAGAGAAATGTTATACAAGTCCGTTTTACTTAGGCATTGTGTCAGTGCACTAATGCATCTAAATGGACAAAGTTGTGTGCAGTGAATATTTTACCTGACACTGTTGAGCACAGACTTTTCCTTGGAGAGGGGCTTGGTAATGGGTCTCTTGGTGCTCACTACCTTGCCTTGATGCTGTTCTTTTCCCGCTTTGCTGTACTTGTTCTTGTTAGGTTTGGGAGTTCCATACTTTCTTAAAATCTGTACAAAACCCAGAATATTTCCACATTTTTATGTACTACATGTAAAAGAGAAGAGGGTGCATAGGTATGCCAGCTGTTACATACCAGAGTAAGTTGATCCTCCAGGACTTTCTTTGGAGGTCGAACATTGGTGAAGAAAGTATGTAGCAGGTTTCCAGGTGTCTGAGAGTTGATCTGCTCCTTGCTGAGGTAAATGTCAGAGACTTTAACAGGCTTGGCTGGTGTGAGGCTGAGCATCTGCTCCGAGTGCACACAGCTTTTAAAGATATCAGTAAGAACGTCTCTGGCTCCTGGAACAAGCTTGTCACCTTGAAGCACAGCAACTATTTTAGATTTAAGTTTGTTCTCAAACAACGACAATGTACTCAAGCTATAAAAAGTCAAACCTTTGATGGACTTGTCCAGGAAGTAGTCTTCTAAGGCAGAACTCCCCTGTGTGTCAAACAGGCTTTGGTTGACACTAGAAACTGTGAGGATCTCCTCGTTGGTTAACTCCATCAGCTCCTCTTCACCCTCCAGGCTGGACAAGCCAATCAGATCGCTGCTGTTGAACAAACTGGCACGAATCTTTTCCACCTTGGCCCGAGAGCGGACCTGTGTGCAATAAAACAAAGATTTCCACAACAACCACCCTAGAATAAATTTGAACGCTCAGATTTTTACCAGTGCTCTAAATAAACCCACCTCAATCACAGCGTAGCCTTTGATGGGCCTTAATGCGATTGCGTTGCTCTCAAAAGAGGTCACTGTATGCATAGAGCCCCCGTTAGACACAGATGGTGTTTCTGCGTTGTCAACAGGCTCCCCCACGCTGCCAAGACTCCCCAGACTTCCTGTGCTACACAGGGAGGTATCGAGACTCTCCTGACTAGAAACTGTCTGAGAGTCTTGGGGGACCTGTTGGGGGTACGTGATAGCAGAGGCAGCAGCAGGATTGAGAGGTGGAACAGCTAAAAGCACCTGATCCACAGAAAGCTCGCTGGCGGTGCGGGACACCCCCTGAGAGGAGCTGCATATGGAGGTCTGGCTGGTGGAAGCTGAAGCGCTCACGCTCAGAGCTGGAGTGACGCTGCTTGAGCTGTCAGGGCTCTCAGGGCCGCCACTGTTAGGGAACGACCTTTCAGGTTCAGGTGCTACTTTGACATCCTGAGGACTTGTCATCCCAGCGCCAAATTTCTTCTTTGGGTCCTCTTCCTGTAAAGGGATGAAGACTTCATCTTTGAAGAGTCCTCCGTGTGCATTGCAAGCCCTGCGGATAGCGTTTCGGACCACGGCCTCTTCGAGGTGTGTTGGGATCCCTGAGAGCACCAGCAGGCGGCTGTGAGCTGTGGGGCCCACCAGGGCCTGACAAGCATCCGTCACTGCATCACTTGTCACACTGAGGCCCTGTGGATCCTTATTGGCAAGATGTCGTAGGATCATGAGGAGGGTGAGGCAGCGATGGAACCACAGCATGTCCTCTGGTTTGCCTCCTGCCATGTTCAAGAGGGCACTATCACTTTCTGACAACCTTGCGCCTCCACTGCCCCGTTTTCCAGAGACTGCTGCTGCGCGCTCACGCTTCATCTTCACCTTCTTACGTTTGGATAGCAAGCTGGGGCTCTGCGGTGTCTGGCCTGGAGACGACGACGATGATGAAGAGGAGTCACTGAGGTTAGGAGCACTGGTAGAAGAGAGCGCCCCTACTGAGGAGTTGCTGACATTAAGAGGAAGTGTCACCTCCGCCACTGACAGACACACCTCCATCAGAGCATGAAAGTAGGTGGAGAACCGGCTCTGCTCTGCCCCTAGCGCCAACGCAACGTTCCCAGAGGAAGACCCTCCCGATCCGGGCCCTCCAGCAGCCCATCCCTGAGTTTCTCGATCATAAAGCTTTCGAAGTTCTGTTTGCAGGGCCATGAGCACCGCAAGGCAGGGGTTGAGCAGCAGAGCGATGGAGCTGGAGAGGCCAGCAGGACTTTTGCGTTGCTCCAAGTGATGGATCTTTCTCAAAAGTTCAGCCAACAGGTGAAAGATGAGCTCTTTGATAGAGGGAGCCAGATCAGTAGTCCAAAGCAAACCACCTAGAGACATGAAATTCAATTCAATTCAATTCAATTCAACTGCATTATCGGACTCAAGGTCCACATTAAAAAAGAGACATAAAAACAATACAAAAGATTATAAACATTGGAAATGGATACGTTATTTGAAAATCTTGAATATAAGATATTTTGGGTTAACCCAAATATTTGCTGTTCTTTTCCAAAGTAAAGGAAAATATGTTTAGACTCTTATTTTACTACCTTTTAAAATCCATAAGTTGCTAAACCAAACTAAGAAAAGCGTTCACAACTCAGATACCAATCAAAATTTAAATCACTTCATTAATCCCAGAGGGAAATTAAAACATTACATATTATAATAATTCCAAACAAACTAATTCCAACAGATATTACTCAGTAGAGTTTTTATTATATATAATTATTTAAGTGTAAAAGACAATTAAAATGTAAAGATAGCATCTTACCTAGCAGCTCTACCACCTGCAGGAGCACAGATGAGGGCACCGTGTCCAACTCATCCTCCGATCGCTCGCCGCTCTCGCCAAGCTTCCACGTTAGCAACTGTTCAGCGAACGCCATCGCTAGAGGAAACTCTAACGGTAGAGAGTGTAGCACCAATACAGCACCAGGAGGGGGCGACACACCTGCATTTGAGGGGAAAATAAAATTTATTCAACATCCCCCAGTGATTTCTCTTTAGGAAAACGTGAGATAGCTATAGTGAATTTCTTCCTGGGTCTTGAATACTAACCAAGTCTGATGTGGACCTTATCAGTGGGGATGATGACTGAGGGGTACTGGTTGGTAGTGGGAGGGGGAGTAAGGCCTGTGTTGGTAGGAGAGGCATCAAGAGGATAACAAACAGCCTCCATCAGATTCAGCTGGCCATTTCTATGCACTTTCTGTCCCAGGCCATACACCATGACCCGAGCCCAGGGAGCCTTGTACAGGCTTGAACTAAAGGACAAAAAAATATGTGAAGAAATGAAAACAATTAAGTGAAAATAAGGAACCAAGCTGTTTTATTCTTGACTTACTCTTTGCGGCAGCCAAGCTGGCTTTCTTTGCAGGAGACGATCACAAACGCAGCTCCTGGAAAACTGACGTCCATGCTAACTTTAGACTCTGTCACAGGAAACTCCTCAGATGTAAACTGCTCAGGTGCATTCTGTGAAAATAAAGATAACTATAAGGCATTTAGCAGATGGTGGGTGTGTAACTCCAGACATATCTGTCACAAGGCACACTGGTTAGGCACAGCTGACCTGTAGGAAGCAACAGATCTGCTTTGTGAGCTCCAGCAAACTTTCCTCTCCTTGATGCAAGGCACGAGTGATGGCCACTGTCAGCCACTCCCGGGTGGGCTGAGCGTTGCCCTGGAAAAACAGGTCAGTGGGAGAGCAGCTTTGGCCCTCAAGGTTGTGAAGCAGTGACTGAGCCAGGAGAATAGAGCTGGAACTAATTGTCCCATCTGCAGAAAGAATGACATCATCACCGTTAGCATAGGATACAGACTTTCTATAACGAAGAGGAATGCTAGCCTGTTGAACTAGACCAAATTCTTGCTTTGCAAAGTTTGGTGTAGGAACGCTCCACTGGAACCTCCGCAGCCCCTAGCAGCATTCTGGCTGGTCAAACACAGCTCTCCATAGGGAGCCTAAGTCACGCCCATCTACTTCCACATCACGGGTCCCCGGAAGAACGACAAAATGAATGCAAGTCAATGGGGCCAAAAACGCTATTTTCTAACTCTGCTTGTTTTGTGCCATGGATTTCACCTATGATGTCTGTGAATTTTAAAGACACATTTTGATACCAAGAACGCACTTATTTTCGAACAGGGGGACGTTATTTTAAGGTTTTGTGTGAAAATAAGTCCAGGACTACAAATGCGCTTCAATAAAGTGACGTCATCGAACCAGACACGGAGAAAACTGAGGGAAAAGGGCTGTAAGTTCAGCAAACTTCCCACAGGAGGAAAGAACCACCATAAATCTGGCCATGTGGTAGGTAGCAGCTACGTTAGAGTAGAGGGGTTTATGTGGTCACATCACATATGTGCTGATTTCTAGTTTGTAGTCACGCTAATTACGAACTTTTACAAGCTGATAAATCTCAAAGTACGTGACTGGCGTGGTCGAAACACCCATCATTACTTTTCATTTAAATTGCAGTACAACATATGTGCGATCCAGGGTCAAAGGCAAAGCGGATTAGAAAATTTTGTTTTTAGCCCCGTTGACTTGCATTCAGGCTTCCCGGCCTGGGATCTTTCTGCATGGAGTTTGCATGTTCTCCCTGTGCATGCGTGGGTTCTCTCTGGGTACTCCGGCTTCCTCCCACAGTCCAAAAACAGGACTTAGGTTAACTGGTCTGTCTAAATTGTCCTTAGGTGTGTGTGTGTGTGTGTGATTGTTTGTCCTGCGTGTCTCTGTGTTGCCCTGCGATGAACTGGCTCTCTGTCCAGGGTGTACCCCGCCTGGTTGCCCGTTGACTGCTGGAGATAGGCACCAGCTCCCCCTGCGACCCTACGTGGACAAGCGGGTTCAGAAAATGGATGGATGGACTTGCATTCATTTTTTCGTTCTTCCGGGGATCCATGGTACAGAAGTGACTTAGGCTCCCTATAGGGGTTTCAATCCTATAGAGCGCTGTGATTGGCCCACAATGGTGGACCAATTAAAACAAGATGGCGACAGCTAGTTTGAAACGGCTTTTACATCAATTTTGGACTATTTGGACTTGGGCTTTATTAGAATCAGGAGCAGATAGATGTATTTAAGTTCTTTTTTTGTTTTTAAATCATGTATTTTCACCTTCTTCCAATGCGGACTGCATCGTTTACCGACATCCAAGTGAAAAGTTGTTCATTGTCCAGTAGCATGCAGGGATTGTTTGAAAGACAACGGTAGAAACCGCCGCACGACCGAGAGCCGTCAATGGAGCGTAAATATATAAATATATTATTTAGTCTGGCTTGCCACGCTAGAGGAATGCAGCATTTAAAACACTCACCAGGGAGGGGTGGAGCCAGCAGTTGATTAGACAGAAGCTGCAGGTGTTCCAAGGTGATGTCACGGATAGCAGGTATGTGGAAGAGACGAGTGAAAGTGTGGGGATTCTTGGGGGCAAAGATGTTGAGCAAGGCCATTCGACAGTACAATCGAGCCAGAGCACTTTCACAACGAAGGAGTTCCCTAAAGAGAAGCAGCAAGTCAAACCGTGAGTTCAGATTAAATTTTAGATCAGTCGTGTTCGTCTGTCCTGAATTCACTTCACCTATGAATCTGAATGTTGCTACTGTCCAGCGAAACTAAGCCGTTAGCCGCAGTGCGTCGAGATCCAGCAGGTGGACGCTCGAGCATCTCGATGGGGTACCAGTATCTCACAAGTACACCCTCACTGCGTAGGTATGTCTCCACCTGCACCAGCTCATTCACCTGAACGCACACACACACACACACACACACACACACACACACACACACACACACACACACACACACACACACACACACACACACACACACACACACACACACACACACACACACACACACACACACAAATTATTTAGCTAATATAATCTGAAGTAATGGTAATAAAATACAAAAATGTGAAATTGTGCATACAGAGTCCACGTCCAGCACAACCCCGTGCAAACCAAAGGTTTTCAGCATCCCACGAATTGCAAACTTAGGCAGCGCCGTTCCTCCGGTAGTGCTGTTGGTGTTGTTGCTGTCAGGACAGCGTATGACCACAGTCAACCCTGTGTGAGAAAAACATTAGAATAAGAACTGCATCACATTCAGTCAGTGGACATAACCTACAGCAGGAGCATCAACTCATCTCGGAAAAAGTGGTACACGTTTTATTTTTGTAATGATTTTGTTACCTTTGCGAACTTTGTCAATGGTGAACTTGTTGGCTTCGTCCTTAATGTCCTCAATAGTAGGGAGGTAGAGATCTCGAGGAATGCCACCATTCTCTTCATACAGAAACTCCACGGTCTGTCTTGCGATGTCAACCATACCTGGTCACCGTAGAACACACCCGACAGTTTTAGTAATAAACATTCAGGATTTTTATGGCATTTGAATGATTTACAGTCTCTTCTATCTACTGTTAATGATAATCTCAGTCTGTACCCAGCTGTAGAGCTCCCTTTATTTGGTCCAAGCCAGACTTCCTCTCCGCTTCATTCCGGAAGCGCCTGCGAATTGTGGGGAAAACCTTCGTCTCCCAGGCTTTCACCAGAAGAGCATAGTGATCCTCCTGATGTCAGAGAGAAAACCACGATAGCAACTAAAAAATCTGAATTGACACTTTGTTCAAGTCAGTTTAAACAAGAGAGGGCAGTACTTACCCTTGGGGCATCATCGTCATCCTCATCATCACTCTCATCATCAGCGATGGGCGGGGGATGTGGGTCAGGACCGGAGGTGACCAGATTTTCATAGCTGAGCTCCACCTTGTAGTGGCACGACAGGTCACTGTTGTACTCTGTACCAAATGAAAATTTAAACAAAAAAAGGACACTTGTTAGCATAGAATGAAAAACTAGTTAGATTAGGATTAAAATTAACTAACAGAGAGACACATACGCTGCTGAGCAACTGCCACAGCTGCAATCCGACAAGGTGGACCATGAGAGCCAGAGTCTGAGGTCACGCTTGCACCTGCATCATTATCACTGTCTGAGGCCATTGCAAAGGGAAGAGCTTCAAAGTTTGCACTAATTTCTTCTGCAAGATCTATACACAAGTCAGCGGCGTTCCTGTGAGCTTGGCCTTCTGCGAACGCAAAGGGACGACTTCCAAAGTTGGCACGGATCTTTGCATTCTGTAACCAGTGATAGATATAACCATTACAACAGACACATTAAGCAAATTAAAAGTGAATATAAATAGAAATTAAAGCTGTGGGTCGTAGCATCGTCAAGAAGGACAGAAGAAAAAGATTTGGAAATCTGATTTGCTATAGCTCCCCCTTCGCTTCCGGAAGGAGCTGAAAGTCATGCCTCCTACTACAAACAAATAGCGCCATAGCGCTAAAGAAGGGAAGCTGTGGTCGTTTATATGTTCCTGTTCAGACACACCTGATTCCAAATGCTTAACTGTGTCTTCAGCCTTCATCGGGTTCTGCAGCAGCTGCTAATTAGTCATCTGGCAGTCATGATGCTAGCACACTGCTGCTAATGCTACAACAGGCTAAAACACTAATCTGATGTAGGGCTGAGTAATATGGCCTAAAATAAATATCAAGGTGTATTGAGGATTTCGCCTCGATAACGATAAATGGACGATAACTAAATGTAAGTGCAGAAAGAAAAAGTTGTCCACTAGATGGGGCTATCACGTGTATTATGCTGAGTCATGTTGTCGCCTGACTCCAGGTGGTAAAGCTTCTTAAAGAGACATGAACTTCGCCGACCTACACACATCTTTTCACCTTTTTTATTATCAAATGTATGGACATGGAAAAACTATATCAGTTAGAGTCAGACATTTTGATAACGATAAATTTTAGATTTATTGCCCAGCTGATGTAGTGTTAGGTTGAATGCTATGCTAATCACTAACCCATTCACATTAACATTCCCCTTCCTCCTTTTCCACAGTTGGCAGACATTACAGACACTGGCCCAATCCCAGTACTCGCAATTGCACCCTCGTGCCCTTCAATTTCACGTTCTCGGCCAGGGGTGCGAGTGCGTAGTGAGTTCCGATTCTCAAGTGCGGAAGTTGGCCACGCCCCCATTGCACCCTTAATCTGCACTTCACCCAAGTCCGTAGCAATGCGGACCTCGGGCAACGGTATTACCCACAAGTCATTGCTACAGGAGAAAAGGCTCAAGTTCCTTTTCTGAAAATATGTACTTTCTAATTAAATTAGTTCATTTTAGGACAATTAGTTGATGTTCTAAAACTTTGAGACAAAGCAGCAATAAATGTATTTTTTTTTAAATAACTGCTTGGCTGTTTGTTTAAAAGGTGTTAATAAAGGTTTTCGAAAAAAGTATCACAGCGATCAGCATCCTGGCATATGTTGCGATCGATGACGCAACGCTCCCTGACTCAATTCTGCAATTATTTGCACATTTGTGTACTGCGCACTCGAAGCCTTACAGCACACTTTCTCCAAGTGCACTTTGCTGAAGTCTGCAGGGCGCAGTGCGAGTATTGGGATTGGGCCATTAACTCAATGAGGGTCGTTAGCATTCAAGCTAGTTTGGTATGCCAAGATGGCTGTGCGTCAGTGCATCACTTCGCAGTGCATGCTGGGAACTAAGGCACATTCTTGTTGATTGACAGCTCCCTCTCGTGGATACGGATTTATGTCGGTCAACGCTCTAGGCTCACTCATTTTGCTTTAGAGACCGGGGGGAACTTAGGGGAAAAATAAATTATGAAAGATTACCTACTTCATAGAACAGGGTCAGATAGTCACATTAAAACATTTAACTACATACCCCAGCTTTAATAGTGTTCATATCCTTTTAATCCACAGAATCCCACCTTCTTTTGAATGTGCACAAGAGGCCACATTCCACCTGCTACGTCCTCCAGAACTGGGCTAAGCCGCTGGCCACAGTAAGTGAAGTACACCCTGCCCTTAGGGGGCTGCCCAGGGGGTGGAGGAGTGCCCTCAGAACGCTCCCAGCCGATTCCAGCCACATCACCTAAATTTAACACACAGAAAGTTTTGTCATCTAAATTGTAATGAAATGCAAATGCAGAGAAGCAAGAAAAAGGATATTTATTGTCCTGCCTCACCAGGGAGCAGAACCACATCGAGTCTGACGCTTTTCCACTGCAGCAAACTGGAGCCATTATAATGCACTGCCCTACCATTACTGACACACACACACACACACACACACACACACACACACACACACACACACACACACACACACACACACACACAAATTAATTAATACAATCAAGAACAGCTGTCAAAAACAAATTCATGAAGCAAGCTGAGGGAAAAGAATGCTGGTGTGCATACTTGTGAAACAGGCATGTGCCGACCGGGTTTGTCCATGCACCGTCTCTCTTCTCTGCCTCTGTGGCAAAACCAAAAGACACAATCGGGCCACTGTCCTCCTCAGAGTCTCCATAGGAGACAACTTCTATCTCCCAGTAAAAGGATGGCGCCTGCAGGGCAGGAATACATTTATTGTAAATGCATAAATTCATCAGGCAGAGACGTCAAACATAACTGCGGGAGCATCTGGTTACACTGTGGCATGCATACCTGAACTGGTACAGGAGAGGTGGCATAAATGAAAGTCCCTCGTGGCAGACCTCCTCCAGCACTTGGATCCGCCAAGAAGGTGACAGAAGTGAGACGGGATGAGAAGAGACACGCGCGAACTGGAGGGAACACTCTGGATGGACACCAAGTGATCTCCTTCGGCTGTCGAGACAAGCACATAAAAATAAACAAGGGCAAGGCAGATATAATTAGGAGAAATCAGTGCAAAGATTTTAACACTTTAACTGAAACTGTCTAATTTAATGTTGATATATGTTTAATTAATACGTAATTAAGAAATACCTAAAAGTGATGGTCTTACCCTGTACTATGATATAATGTAGGCATTACAATTTTTTTTGCTAAACCCGTGTCCACTCCCATAGAGTCCCATGCAATTTGAATTAAGCGCCACAAAGCATTAGCCAATAGTGTTAGACATCTGCTTACATAGGGGGTTGTGCTGTGTCATTTAACTGCTTGGTCAAACAAGTTAGTGGGGCTACTGGTTGGATAAGAGACCTGATACCCGTCTTCTGTCTCCTGCCCGAGAGGAGTTGCTAGAGCAGGCGGCTGACTGTTCCCATTTCCCAGGGTAGCCGACGCGTGGACCGGCTCCCATGCGAGAATGTAGTCATGTTGGAGGCATCATTTGGAATCGTAGAATGTCCAAGGAAGATCCCATTTTCTCGGCACAGAAGGGCTTTACTACGATTGGCTATTTCATTTAGCAGCAAACCATCTTCCCATGCTAAGTGCGCAATATTCTCCTGCCATTTCCACCAACAGAAAGCTGTTTTGGGGAGTTTTGTAACGAAAATGTAAACTTAATGCTGTAATAATCAAAGGCGAGAAAGACGGGACAGTCCTTGGACATACTCCAATTCCAAATGACGCGACCGGGAGCCCTGGCCTTTCACATCAGCTCATGGCTCTTGGAGAATGAGCGGATCTGAAAGGCCAGGGCTCCCGGTCGCAGCGGTCTGGCACTGCTTGTAATTTAACAGTCCCAGTCCATATTAGACCTCTACAGGCGACCAGCATTACTACAACCTCGCATGGGTCGGTCTTGCGAGCGGGCTACCTCGCGGTCCCTGGAGCCCTTCTTAGCTTCTTGGGTTAGCTAAGTTAGCTAGTAGCTACATTGGTTTAATTTGTTCCAGCCCTGTTCCAAATGTAACAGCCCTACCTCCACCTCTTTTCCCATTTTTGGATTGTGTGGGCGTGACACGGTGGGAACCTCCTATTTTTGGCTTCAACTTTCGCCCAGCAGAGCAATGGGTGGGCAATGTCCATGTTTTTAATATGTCGATAGTCATGGAAACAGGGAGGGGCTTAAGGTGTGATACATGTTTCCACCTCTAGATGATGCCGTCTGAGAAAAAACTCCAGATTTCTGCTTTAATGACAGTCATATTTATTCTATGAGCCTGTTAGAGGAAAGGGGATATGTTATGCTCGCTGCACCTGAAATAAATAAATAAACAAAAAACAAAAAAAACAACTCACCTGTCGTTGATCTGTCTGCAGTGGAGGAGGTGGTGGTCGAGCGCAGTCCCGGTACATCATTCTCACTCTCTCACACTGAGCCTCCACCATTACAAGACGCTCTCCTACGAAAGATCAAAAGATAAAATCAGAAATTATTTGAAAAGGGCTCCTAAGTTCTGCCATCTCATGTAGTCGTATATTTTTACCAGGACTGCACTCCTGGGCCACCAGGTTAAGAACCTCAACAGCAGCTGGGCACTGCTGAATGAACTCCTCACAGAAGGAGCTATCCTGCAGGAGCTGTGCCATCACCAGACACGCCCTGGAAAAATAAAAAAAATGAAGCTACCATGAAAACGTTGGCAACTTTCTTGTGTTTAATTTAAAAAAATACATACAGGATGTATCACTGATAGCGATGTAGGAAAATATCAATACACTGACATATTGCAATATTTTGTGTTCCGATACAAAATTGACACGAGAATTTACATGTAAAAATGTGCTAAATGTCTTTTTTTGTAGAACTTTAGGTTACTGTCGTAACCCCGGTTCTCTGAGTAACATGAGTGAGATGTCTCACTATGGGATACGCCCCTCCGCGGATTCCTCAGAAGCACTTATCTCAATACGCCAATCCTGATTGGCCAGTGACCGTGACGTACGCGTCCCCCTGCTACTATAAGTAGCAAGCGTCCCCATGTACGCACTATTCAAGATAAACACCTCTTCTCGCTTCGCCCAGCAAGAAGGGTTGTCTGGTGAGACATCTCACTCATGTTACTCAGAGAACCGGGGTTACGACAGTAACCTAAAGTTCTCTTTCTTAACATTCGTTTCGATGTCTCACTATGGGATATGGAGACTCCCGTATTGCCAGACAGCTTATCCAGCGATCACCAACCTACAGGGGTACGTCTTGGCCCGCCAAAGACCCCACACTCAGAATCGTGTGAGTCATTGCAGGGACCGAAACATCAAGCTTATAGAAGCGTGCAAATGCAAGTGGAGAAGCCCAACTTGCTGCAGCACAAATCTCCTGGATTGACAGCCCCCGAAAAAGGGCCCAAGAAGCAGACAGGCCCCTAGTAGAATGGGCCCTGAGCCCAACAGGAGCCTGAATGCCCTGACAGGAGTAAGCCATAGAAATAGCCTCCGCAATCCAGTGGGAAAGCCTCTGCTTTGTGACGGGTTTCCCCTTACGAGGCCCACCCCATGGCACAAAAAGCTGGTCCCCCCTGCGAAGGTTCTCCGTCCGATTCACATACTCCTTGAGCGCGCGAATCGGACACAGCTTGTGCCACCGCTCCTCCTCAGGAGAGGAGAAGGGTGGCGGGTAGAAAGCTGTGAGGATAATAGGAGAAAAGGAGCCCACCACCTTAGGCACAAAGGCAGGGTTGGGCTTCAGGGACACCTTCATGTCACCGGGTGCAAACTGGGCGCAGGATGGGTGCACAGAGAGAGCCTGTAAGTCACTAACTCGCTTTGCAGATACCAAAGCCAGGAGTAGCACCACCTTAAGAGACAGGATCTTAAGGTCCAGGCCGTCCATAGGTTCAAATGGAGGCCCGGAGAGGGCCGACAGCACCAAGGACAGATCCCATGAGGGCACCAAGGGTCGAGACACAGGGAGAAGCCTGCGCGCGCCCTTCATGAAGCTACACACCAGGGGGTGTTGACCTGCCGGTTTCTTCCCAAAACCCAAGTGTCGGGCGGAAATGGCTGCTAGGTACACTTTAATGGTGGAGAAAGCCTTCTTCCCATCCAACAAGTCTTGCAGGAAAGACAGAATGACGTTCACCGGGCATTGGAAGGGTGAGACCTCCCTGCCCTGACACCAGGCTTCAAACACCCTCCATTTACAGTCATATAGGGACCTAGTGGAGGGGGCCCTAGCATTCTGAATGGTTCGAATGACTGCCTGGGGCAGCTCTGCTGACACTAGTCCGCACCCCTCAGGGGCCAGGCCCACAGGGCCAGCCGTTCTGGATGAGGGTGGAAGATCGAGCCTCCCGCTCGGGACACCAGGTCCCTGCGAAGCGGCAGTTTCCAAGGTTGGCCCTCCAGGAGCTGGAAAATGTCCGCCACCCAATGCATGGCTGGCCAGAATGGGGCCACCAGAATGAGAGTGTGGCGCTGGGTTCGTACCCTCAGCAAGGTGGATGGTATCAGGGCCACTGGGGGAAAAGCGTAAAGCAGACCCCGTGGCCAGTCGTGCGCCAGCGCGTCCACGCCGAGTGGAGCGTCTCGGTCGCGCAGGGAGAAGAACAGAGGACACTGAGCATTCTCCTTGGAGGCAAAAAGATCCACTACGGCTGTGCCGAACCGGATCCAAATCTGTTCCACCACTGCTGGATGCAGTCTCCAATCCCCGTACAGGGGTGTCCCTCTGGACAACAGATACGCCCCCCGATTCAGAACACCCGGGACGTGGGTGGCTCTGATTGAGAGGAGATGCCTGCTGCACCATAGGATCAGTCTGCGTGCCAGTGTGTGTAACCGCATGGAGCGCAGCCCCCCCTGGCGGTTTATATATGCCACAGTCGTGGTGTTGTCTGTTCTCACTAGGACATGATGGCCGGACAGAAAAGGCAGGAAGCGCCTCAGGGCCAGAAAGACCGCGAGGAGTTCCAGATAATTTATGTGTGTCCCCCAGAGCTCTCTGCTCCACACACCCCTGACAGAGCGACCCTCCAGGAGCCCCCCCCAACCTGACAGGCTCGCATCTGTCGTGACCACTTTCCTCACGAGAACCAACCCCAAAGGCACCCCTTGTGCCAAGAGGGAGGGGTGACGCCAACAGCGGAGCGCCGCGACGCACGCTGCAGAGACCGTCACCCTGCGCGCTCTGTGGCGCACTGGAGAGAGACCCAGAGAAGCCACCCAGCGTTGAAAATCTCTCATGTGTAGACGGCCGAGTGGTACCACTGAAATAGCCGACGCCATGAGACCCAACAGCCTGAGGCATAACGCAAACCGCACCGAACTGTGTAGGCGGAAGCGCGCCAGGCAGAGCGAGAGCGCGTCCACGCGCGGTGTCGAGAGACGGGCCGTGAACGCCCCTGAGTCCAGATTCAGACCTAGAAAGGTTATTTTCTGGGAGGGGAGTAAAGCGCTTTTCTGCCAGTTTATTCTGAAACCCAGACCACACAAGTGACGGATCACAACCAGCGTGTTTGACGCTGCCTCCTCTCTGGATCGTGCCAGCAGGAGCCAGTCGTCTAAATATGTGGCCAGTCGAATGCCCCTCCCTCTCAGAGGGGCGATCGCCGCCTCCGTACACCTGACAAACACCCTCGGGCTCAGCGAGAGGCCGAATGGGAGCACGGTGTATTCGTAACACACTCCCTGAAAGGCAAACCTCAGAAATGTCCTGTGTGGAGGGTACACGGGAACATGAAAGTATGCGTCCCTCAGGTCGATTGAGGTGAGCCAGTTGCTCTGGTGAATCAGACGCAAAAGGGATGAGAGCGTGAGCATTTTGAATCTGTACTTTCTGAGGCATCGGTTCAGGGCCCTCAGATCCAGGATCGGGCGAATCCCGGTCCCTCCCCGTTTCGGGACCAGGAAGTACCTGGAATAGAAACCGCTCTGAGACCGATCGGGAGGCACAATGCATATCGCTCCCTTCTCCAGCAGGGAGGAGATTTCTCCCTGAAGGATGTGAGCTGACGACCCCCGGGCGTGGGAGAACACTACGCCGGAGAATCGAGGAGGAACTGAGGCGAATTGGAGCCTGTAACCCCTCGAAATTGTTCTTATCACCCAATGTGAAGCAGAAACCGCTGTCCATTCCTCCATGTGAGTTGAGAGCGGTGACACAGCCGTGACACACGGAGCACCAGCTCCCCCCAGAGGTTGTGGGGCAGCAGTGCTCGTGGCAACCACTGCGCATGCGCGGGGGCTTTGTGCTTTGACGGCCCAGGTGTACGGGGACACCCGTGGCTGGCTAGAAAGTCCGCCAGGGGCCGACCCCGCCTGGGACCGCTCATGGGTAACATTTTTATTGATTTTTGCTGCGCCCTTGACATTTTGTCTGGATGCGGCAGCGAACGTTTTAATGCTCCTTGAGCGTGACATGTTTGTGAAAAACAACAATGTGAGTGCTTGTGACGTGTGTTCTGAGCCGGCACAGCCGGCTGCACGTCCTGGCCCCACCCTGGACCGCTCGGGGACTCTGCCGGAGGGGTTCCGTGAGGGGGGGAGAAAGCACCATGGCAACGTTGAACAGGAGGGGCTGGCGAACGGGGAACTGCCAGCTGCAGCGTCGGGAGGGAAAGAACTCCGTCAGGCTGCCCTCTTCTTCTTCCTCACCTGCTGACCGCCGGGTCGGGTGGATTATCCCGGCGGCGGAGCAGCTTGGTTGCCGGATCGCTGAGGCCACACTGGTCGAGGCGCTGAGCCCGAGGGAGCTGGTTGGACAGCTTGAGGCTTCGGGCGCTTTGGGATCCGGAACTGAGGTTGGGCTCGGGGTATTGCCTGAGGAAGGTTCGGCCGAGCCGGCAGTGCCGGTGAAGGCTTACGGGGAAGGCAGAGATGAAGGGCTTCATCCTCTTTCTTTTTGGCCTCACACCGTTGCTGCATCGATACCAGGGCAGAGCCGAAAATGCCTTCAGGCACGATTGGCATGTCCAAAATGTCCTCCTTCTCTCTATCAGAGAGGTTGGTGAGGTTCAGCCAACGTGCACGTTCCTGAAGCACCATCATGCCCATAGCTTTCGCCGTAGCCTGGACCGCGCAGCGCTGCACCCGCAGGCAGATGTCGGTCAGTACGGTGATTTCCTCCCACACCTCCGGGTCCGGCTTCGTATTCATGTCCTCACAGAGCTCGGCTTGGTACGCTGAGAGCATGGAGGAGACATTCAAAGCTCGGACCGAGATGGCGGCAGCCTTGTACGCCCTCTCGTTCAGCGCCGACTGGAAGCGGTCCGCCTTTGCAGGGAGAGCGGGAGGCCTGGAGGAAGTTGCCGAGAGTCGTGGGTGCAGGTGGGCTGCAACCAGCGGTTCCATCGGCGGCATGCGAAGCATGCCAGCCCTCTCCATCCCCTCGAAGTCCAGCGAGGAGGCTCCTTGGACCGGAGACCTTGAGCTGAAATGGTGTTTGTCCCAGGAGGACCTCACTTCTTGGAGAAGCTCCGGGAAGGCGGGAAGGAGGGGCTTTGCCGCCCTTGTGGCCTGAGGCAGCTTCTTACCCTCGTAGCGGGACCTGACAGCCTCAGTGACCACGGTGGGCCAAGGGATGTTGAGCCTGGTCGCAGCGCGTCGGCAGACTGACTGCATGTCCAGGTGAGCGGCCGGAGAAGCCGCTCCATCCCTGGGAGAGGACGGAAAGCTAGGCATGGAGGCCTGAGCGACGGGGAGAAAGACGTCGTCATCCTCGTCCTCCTCTGAAATGAGGAGTTCCGAGGTGTCCTCGTCGTCTCCGTAGTCCAACTCCAACACGTCCTCGACGGGGTGGCTCGGACCGGCCAGTTCGAGCTGTGAGCCCCAGCTGAGTTCGGCACACGGTTCCGGCTCCGGGAGGGCATGTTCGCTGGCGTCCCCAGGCGGTGGCCCAGGGGCCGGCAGGCAAGGGTCCTTCCCCGACAGGCTAGCTTGGCGCGCTAGCCGCCGGCGAAGGCTCTTCAGGGTGAAGCAGGCACAGTTCTCACATGACCCGGGGACTTCCAATGCCAGCTGGGCGTGTTCCAGCCCGAGGCAGCTCGAGCAGACCTTGTGCGGGTCTTTGCTTGAGATTTTGTTCCCACAGGTACAGAGGCGAGCTCCTGAGCCATCGACTCCTCTGGTGGGAGGAGCGGCTTCCATGTTGGCTAACTGGTGTGTTAGCAGAGAGCGAACAGGTGCACTGGAGTGTGAAGCTGCTCGTTATGCCCCGAGCCTATGGTGAAGGTCAGGACAGAAGGACGGTAAGTTAACGTTCGGCGACGGAGAGAATATTAGAAGGCTCCGTCTGTGAACAGTTGAGCTAACTTACCTCAGAGATAAGCGACCACCGAAGCGAGAAGAGGTGATTGAATAGTGCGTACATGGGGACGCTTGCTACTTATAGTAGCAGGGGGACGCGTACGTCACGGTCACTGGCCAATCAGGATTGGCGTATTGAGATAAGTGCTTCTGAGGAATCCGCGGAGGGGCGTATCCCATAGTGAGACATCGAAACGAATGTTAAGAAAGAGAACAATGCAAACTCCGGCCAACAATGGCAGCAGTTTTCACCGCCTCCATTCTGATGGAACGAAATCTCGCGATAACACTGGATGTGTCAGCTTTCAAAGCTTATGTGTGGACTTATTTTGGAGTCAGGACAGACGACAGCAGTAAGAGTTTTGCAGTCTGTAAAGTCTGCACCACCAGGGTCAAGTACTCGGGTCGCCACAGTGGCATGGCATCAAATGCTAATTTAAAACAAAAAACAGGTCAATCCTGCTCAACGGACACTCGAAGAAGGTACATTTTCGAAACTACCAGCAACTTCAACTTGTGCAACCAAAATAACAGTCAGTACTTGGAGTTATTTGCAAAGACATGCACCCTCTGAGTGTTGTGGAGCACAAAGGGTTTCCTTTAATAAGATTAAAATGCTGTAGCCCTGTTTCACCGCTCCTTCTAGACAACACATCACAGACATCGCTCTGCAGAAGTTATAAAACAAAGTCAACGCGGCAGATTCTTGCCAACACACACCACTACTCACTAACCTAGTCCTGATTTCAGCCAGCAAGCGGACTGCAGCCATCACCGGACTGGAGCCATCTCCTGTAGCTGGTAGAGATGTGTGTATGGAGAGACTGCCCTCTTGTGGCAGGAGCATCGACTGCACTGCCTGGACCACCTTTTCTGTTATGGACAGCTTATAGATGGGAAGAGCCTGACGGAGAACGTAAAAACCAGGAAAGTGTTGTTCAGGGTGCCGTGTTGTACAACAGTAAGGCTCTGACTGCACTTCTTACCTCAGATCTCGGGGTGCAGAGGCGTGATATTGGCACGGTTAAAACATCTGAGGCTTTGCAAGCTCTCCTGTACTCACAGGAAGGAAACTTGACTACAGCGATGCCCTCCTGCTCATTTATGGACATAACTATGCCCACGCTGCCCAGCACGCCTTTACCTACCACCTGTACAACAGAGGAACCACAGTCAAAACGCTTGTGGTGGGAAAAGATCACTGCCGAGCATAGCAGCATAGGATTTTTTGGGGTCTCCTTTTTCCGAACCTGGACTTCAGAACCAATCTTAATAGTTTCTTTGAAGCCTCCAAGTGCACAAAGCGCTGCAACAGCCTGTCTGCCGATAGCCTGCAATTTAGCCAGTTTCCTGCCACTGCTGCTGCCGTTCTCCAAAATGCTCTCAGCATACTTCCCTAGCTGAGGGATGAACATCAGTGCCCTGGAAAGCACCTGACACAAAGAAGAAGGAACATATATATATATATATTAAAAGGATCTAAAAAGCTCAAAGGTTCTATTATATAATTTGATGTGATTTAAGATCCTTTAACGAGTATCTGCAGAAAGTCACAGACATAGATGATAAACATGGTGACTGGTGTGAGGCTAGAAGCAGAATGTTGCTTTACTTTTTCCACTGTGCTTGTCCAGATCTGAGCGGTGTTGGATTCTGGGGCCGTGAGCAGACTATGCAGCAAGGCAATAACCTCAGCAGCCATGCTGTTGGCAACATGGCCGCTGATAAACGGCCGCACTGGATCCGACCTATTTCAAAGGTTTAAAGAGAAGATATTACAACCAGAGTCCAGTTCATCGCCCGTCACGTGCTGCGATTGTTCCGTTTAACCCTAACCTGGCCAGTTCAGCGTTCCTGTCCCGGCAAACAGCCGTCTGAGCCGTTTTCTTCTTGTCACCCGTTGCGATGCCGCCTGCAGTCTCCTGAGCCAAAGCCTCCACAGGTGGACCGACGCTCACTATCAGACCGGACTGAGCCCACTTGTTAGCTTTCCTCAAGGCAGCAGATGCTTCTTCTGTGATCACCTCACAACTTCCACTCTGTGGAGCATTTATACGAAAATACACTAATGTAAGAGTGGCAAAAGGAGAAGAACAAGGTCAGTTTTAAAAATCACATAACAGCTCTTGCCTTTGTCATATCTCTGTCCATCTTCACTACCTTCTCCATGTTTGCTCCAGTGCCAAGTCGAAAGGGCCGCCCCTCAGAGCTGCTGCATTTTGGGGAAAACGGGAAAAAGCTCAAGCGGGAGAAACCAGAGTAATCTCACAAAATTCTCATAAAAATAATCTAATTTTTACCTGAGAAGTGGTTGCAAAACCTCATGAGATGACTGATCCTCCCTTTTGTGGATAAAAATGGACAGCTTGCCATCAACTGCTTCTACCTCCTCCCCCACATCCTCCGACTTCAGAGCTCCTTTGGAGCTGGCACGGGACAAACTGGTGTCTGGCTCTGAGGAGCTGGGGGAAAGAAGGGTCTGACACCCTGCCAAAAGAGAAATTAACAAAGGAAGTTAGTGTTTTTTCCCATTTAAACCTCCAATTTTAGAAATAAACCCATGTTTGTTTTGATCTTGGCAGGAGAAACAAACCTGGTACAACATAATCTGCCAGTTTGGCTAGCAGCAAGGCAGCAATACGCGAGGCTGGGTCGCTGGCATCCTGCTGCTCAGCATCTAGCGTGTTAATGGAGTAACTCCACGAAGGCAAAGCAACATTCCCACAATCCTCCACACTCATGAGAGGCAAGGCAGCTCGGCAGAGCTGCAGAATGATAAGTACTAGTTTTGGAGAGGGTCTCTGGTCGAGCAGGAGAGACAAAAGCTTGGAAACACAAGCAGGCTGGCTCAGGATGGCTTTCCCTATGTGACTCCTGAGATAAAAACAAAAGGAGTTAAAAGAACAGAGCAAGAATGTAGAAATACGTATATTCACATCTGAGGTTTAACATTTGTTTAAACAGTACCTGGAGAGATCATTGAGGAGACTCAACACATCCTGTAATGCATCATTACCGGCCGCCTGATTCCCACAGCACTCTGTTGCTCTGGCCAAGTGATTGGTCAGCAGGCTGGAAACCTGCCTCGCCAAACCAGAGTGAACTGCATCTGTGGAGCCACCTTTAATAACCAAGAGGAGTCAAACTAAGTTATAATTACAGCACATCCACCTTTCTTTAAACCAGCATATTCCACTTTAGTTAGATTTATCAGAGTGAGACAAAAATATTTTCACACCTTCCACTTTCTCCCACTCGATGCAGCGGTTAGCCAGCACCTGAAAAGCAGCCCAAGCCATTGTAGCCACCTTCTGCTTTTTGGTTTGCTTCTCACTTGAGCTGCAGTCCCTCTGACCACTTAAGCTGCACAGCCTATCCATCAGCTGGACAAGGCCACTCCGAACAAGGCACTGCTCCTCGCTCCTATGAGGACAAAATTAGGCTGTTAGGAGAAATGCGACAGGGAAAATGTGCTAGGCTGGATTCACGTGCCTGGTGTAGGGGATTGTGCAAAGCAGGCCAATGCTGTTGGCACAAGCGATTGGGTAGCGAGCACATAGTGACACGACAGAGGTCATGGTCTCTCCAAAGGCTTCCTGCACCTGCTCCACCATCCCACCACAGGTCAGCTCCTCAATCCTGCACAGACAGAGACACAGACGATAAGATATTAAATAAGATTATTTAATATAAGATTAAAAACTGCACTACTAGATCTTACCTTGGACCACCCTGCAGCACCATAGTGACAGGCCCAACCAGGTGAGTTACTCCGCCCACTCTAACAGCAGCAGTTAGTAGTTCCCTCATGTGAATGAGGGCCTGTTTCCGCGTGCTGCCGCGTCTCCAACGCGTCTGTGCGGCTGACAGGAAGCTGCTGCTGGACACCTACATCAGTGCAACAGATCTACATCTACCCAAAACTTTACAACATATAATTGAACACAAAATAAAGCCTTAAAAGGTCTGGTGTTCTTTTTATGGATTTGCAGTATCACCAGATCTTCTGTGATCTGTTAGCACCCAGAGTGTTTGGCTCATAGACAACTTACAGCCTGATCAGGTGTAGTCCCGATAAAGGCAAAGAGCTGTCCCAGCAGCACGCTGTATGTCGGCTTGTCTCGGCTGTCCTCTACAGCCAGAGACTGCAGCAGGGTAAACGAGCTGCTGCGGTGACTGGACGGGTGGTGTCGCCTTCTGAAAGTCAATAAGACATCAAGTAAAGAAACGAGCATCTAGTCACCAGCTACTGCTAGGATTTCTTTTAACCATTTAGCAAATACCTTTGGGGAGCGTGTGCAAACTCTAGATCTTGGTTAGCGATCATCTCCAAGTCAGAAGGTGCGGACATGCTGCGCAAAAAGACCGGCTGCTTGACCAAGGGGATCGTTGTTTTGGCTTCTGACACGGACTTGGAGGCTGACCAATACAAATATATTTGTTTGTAAATGTACATATAAAGGTGCAATAGATAGAAATAAAAATTGATGTGGTGTACCTGGACCAGGTGTGCCAGCCGGTGTCGAGGTTAGGCTTCTACAGTGTGGAGCGATGGTGACGTGTAGAAGGAGCTCCGAGCGGTTCATCAGACTTTTGACCAGAGTTTTGGTTTTAGCCAGTGGGACGTTGCTTCTGCTGAATGTGGAGTTCACCTCCTGAAAGAACTTCTCCCTGTTGGTGCAAACGCTTTATATTAGAGCTCAGACTCAACCTGCGCCCCATTCCTACAAGATACTCTTCCCATTACTTGCCTCAATGCAAGGACGACGTTTTCCACGTCACTAAAATCTAAAGGGACTTCCTTCAGTGAGCAGAGTAATTCCAGTTCCTTCAGTTTGTTCTGGTACCCAAAAAGAAAGAAAAAGAAAAGTCAGTGACAATAAAACTAATTGTGTTGTGTGAGCTTTATTTTTAGAACAAATATAAAGTATTTAGATCAGGGTACCTCAAAAAAGTGATAGTCATGAAAAAAGGGAGTGTTGTTCTCCAGTTTTCCTTGCTGGGCCTCCTCTACCTCATTCTGCCACTTCTGTTCCAATTCTGCTACACTCTGAATGCAACAAAAAGGACGTCATTCATTTAGTAAATGTATTCTTCATGTCTGTTCAGCTAAAATCAAGTCAGCTGATCAACTGTAACCTTATTGTGGCAAGGTGGAGAAACGAGGGCCCGGGCGGGATTCAATCCCCAGACTCCCGGGTGAGAGTCATGCGCGCTAACCAGTCAGCCAAAGGGGCATCCCCTAGGCCAAGTAGCCAGGGCGCATGATCAATCGGGACACTGTGACAGGATGCTCACACTGTCACATTATTTTGCACAATGCATAACAAAGAACTTTCTTAAAGACCAAGTTCACTTGTTTTTTCTTCAACCCATTTGTAGTGATAAATGAATACCTTGTGAGTCGACCTCTGTCGGGAAAAAAGCTCTGGCTCTCTTGTTTCAGGAGGTAGAAGTGAGCAGCAGACGGCAGGTTTTGGAGTCTTATTTCCTGATATATGAACATCTTGCCGTTGATTGGCTAACAGCAACACGACTCTACCATTGATTCTGTTCGTTCTGCAATGTTGATGTTTTATCTCCACAAATAACACAAGCCTGATGGAGTTCCGCCATGTGGTGGAGTTGCTAATGCTAACAGTTAGCTTCTACTAGCTGTTTCCTGGACGCTAAACCAACAGCAGCCTTCCCCATCGTGAGTCAAGATGGGTGAATCTATGAATGCTAATTTTCAGTGTGATGTAGATATGACTGGCTTTTCTAATCCTGGTGTTTCCCTAGCCATTTTTACAAAACAATGCCGTCAATTTGCTGCAATGCCGTGGTGGCATCAGGGTGTTTTAGGTTGTTTATAAGACATACTGCTGCGGTAATATTACGCCGATTTGCCGGCATGGTGTGTCTTAGAAAATATACTAAAATCCTTTACTAATGCAGGAAATAGGGGTAAAAGACTATTTTCATGTTCAGCCTGCAGGTTAAACTCAGAATGGCTGATCTTGTTTCAAAAACAAGTGAAAACGGTTCCTCAGTGAACTTGGCCTTGAAACAGTAACATTTGAAACCTGAAACTACTTAAATCCGTCTATAATTAGTGGTAATCAATTTCCCTGCCTGAGCCCACCTGCAGCTGGCGCTCCATTGCATTGATCTTCTTAAAGGTCTCAGCCATGATCTTACAGACCAGGTCGTACTCCTCTGCATGATCTTCACGATATTGATAGTTGACAAGGGACTGAAGAGCATCCACCAGGCTGAGGTGCTTGATGACACAGGATACTATAACCTCTTCCAGTACATCTGGCCGGATCACTTCCCTTATAGAAAACATGAAACAGAAAATCTTGTTCGGGGGAATTCTCCTGACTAAAGGCATGCATCCATGAACCAAATGGATGTGAAATATCGTAGGCATCATCTTTATTCACAAGACAAACTCCTTACTTGATGCTGGGGCGGAACTGTGGGCGAGCTCTTCCAGACACTTCTCTCAGCTTACTCATGATCCCAGGTGGAAGACGAATCCGAGGCAAATCAAAGTAGGTCCCGGGCATGAGGCCCGGAGGAGGAATAAGGACATCAGAGGGATAGATAAACTCCCGGTCTTCCTCAATCGTGAGTGGCAGTGGTGAGGGGCTCGGTGTGAGAGCGGGAGAAATAGCACCATTTGCTTCTACCTGCCACTGACACCTAGAAATAGAAGAAAATTACTTTTTACCAAATGCTTCAACCATCAAAATGACTGGTGGACTTTTGCATTTAGTGGTATTCTTATTTAGCTGTGTCACCTTTGCAGCAGCTTTGAGCAGAGTAAATCATGGCAGGCGTCCTCCTCTCTTGTTACCTCTGGCCCATTATACAAAATGCGAAGCATTGAGCAGGCCAGCACTGACAGACCCAGTGCAAGGTCAGCGAGAAATGGAAGCCCTCCAGAGACGTCCTCGGAGGACTCCTGACAGCAAAAACAAATGGTGTGTTCAGGAGGACTAATCAGCTATAAACACAGACGTCAGAGGAAAGCAACAGCGTCCACTTTTCACCTGAGCTCTGACAGTGCAGGAAAACCCCCACATGGCTTTATCAGGAGTGTTGTGCTCACGCCCGCTTCTCATCTCAAAAGAAAACGTGACAGTGTCTCCTTCAACCTGCAAAATGAAAAAGAAACATACAATTCATAAAAGAAAAACAGATTTCATCCTTTACATTTTTACTAAATGATTTCTGTTACCTTAACAAGGTCTTTAGGCCATCCTGTTCCTAAAACGCTGCGACTGCCATAACCCAGAGTGTTTCCTCCATACTCGGCCACTTTACGACTATTGGTGTTGGGACCAGCGTAGATGACCAACTGCGAAACCAAAAAGCACCAGCATTTTTATTTTTATTATTATTACTTTTGCCCTGAAAATGAGTCAACTGTTCTAGAATCTGTTCTCTTTTTTAGAATGCAAAATGAGAAAACCTCGTGCAGTACGTTTGAATGTCAATATCTCTTCTCTTGAAAAAAAAAACAACAAAAAAAGCACAGAAGCTGTCCTGAGAGGCTGAACATGGAGGAAGTTTGCACCTTATCATAGTCATACTGTGAGGAGCAGCGAGGATCAAAGCGAAGGTAAAGGCAGCGGGCTCCTGGGATGTGCACCGTCTCCTTAAACTTGTAATTATCCCTCACAGGGTGCATCGTCTCCACCGTTTTCCCAGCAGCCCACGGAGCAGGGATCTTCAGTCCTGTCAGGAAGCCTGGCTCCTCACGCTCATCCAGGATTCTTATTTCAATCATAAGTAAACAGATTTTAAACAATCTGCGTATGAGAATTCAGTTTTAATATGCTCTCTTCAAGAACTTTGGAAAACTCACTTGTCATCAGCTGCACATGCTTTAGATACCTGCCCCAGAGAGCTGCTTGCAGGTGGGGGCTCTTCAGTGAAGAGGGGACACTGGGTCTTAAGTAACAAGGCAGTCTGAAAATCAGGAAGTGAAAATAAATACCGTCATCATCTCGTCCGTGTCATTTATTGGATGGAGTGTCTTTTGGAGAAGTAAAACTCTAACCTGGCTGGTGTAGAGCACCAGCTGCACCAGCTGAGGCATGAGGGCATCAGCAAGCATCAGGGTTTGTAAGGTGGGGTGCATCAGTGAGGTGAGTAGCACAGGCAGCAGATGACCAAGCATTGTTGCTTTGGTAACCTGCTCCAAGCCCTTCAACCTGGACAAAAACACAAGAGAAAGAAAAAAAAAGAATATGAGAATAAGAGAAAAACTCCCATATCCCTCCCATGATTCATGTTTCTTGCACGATTGGTTAAAATAAACCCTTAAACATATTTTCTAGAACTGAGAAAAAAGGTCTTTTGCCAGAAACTGTGATAATAAGATTAAAATATAGCTTTATTTTAAAAAAAAAGCACCTAGTCTCTCTGTCTGTGATGTCACTGTTGATCAGAGCCGTCGTCACCTGCTGCAGGGTCTCCAGGACTTCATCACACCCCACCAGGATTTTGGTTGCTAGTGACAAGATGCTGTTCTGCAGCTCCTGAGGACAACACATGATAGGCCCACACTTTCATACCAACACAGAATTTATTATTTCATACTTTAACATACCTGCAAGCTCGGAGGCTGTGAAAACGGTGACAACTACAATGACAACCACAACCACATCCATTTACTGGGGTTTGTTTTAAACGAGTAAGGCTGTAGCACACTGGTGACCATTTCTCACCAGAAATAGTATTTATGTTACTAATATTACTAGCGGTGTTTACTCAACTCCAAAACAACAACAAAATAAATAAATAAAAAATACACGACCTGCCGCGGGAAAAATCTATAAAGGTAAATCTGCTAAAGTCCTTGACAGGAAACTGTTTAGTGGTGAGTTTGTTCTATTTGACGAACTTTAAGCTCAAAACCACTGCTAGAAGTTATAGCGACAGCACGCATACTCGCTGCGAGACGAGTGCCGCTCTGCCTCATCTTCTGCAGCGTGCTGTCTCTGACTGTGATTGGTCAAATGATGACATGTGACTAACACACTAGAACTGTGAACAAGAGGAGTCCCCTCTCCTTTCTCTGATTGATTTCCATAAGAGCGACTGAAACCCAACAGAAGACACCCCCCCCCCCCCCCCCCCTCAAAACAAAAACTCTTCAGAGCTACACGATTCACAAGAACGCCACATTTGGCTTCAAAAACGTCAATTTTCGCCAAAAAGTGACAAGTTTGCAGGTATGCTTTAAGGTGAAGATAATCCAATAATTAATCAGAACTGGAAGCAACACCATAATGACCCTCCATAGGCTGTTCTGATCATGAAACACATCAAACCTGATCATTTGCATAAATATGAATCCACTTCTTTAACCCACAGCTTTGTTCTCACTCGCACAAACACAGACTGCACAGAGGTAGGGGTAGATAAAGGGGATGTTTACCTGTACCTTTATTGTTTCCCCCTGTAGGGAGCAGTCACTGTCGTCGCCATCGTCCGGGCGAATCAGGATGGTGTTGCTGAGGAGGTGGTTTTGAACAGCCATGAGGTAGCGCAGGCTAGGTGAGACCACCTTAAAGAGAGAAAACAAATATTAAAAAAAAAAAATGAGCGTGAATGATCGTTTCTGAGCTGCCAGACTGATTTTCATACTGGGACAGTGGAGAGCAGCTTCTGGAAGTCATCTCTGGCAACAGTTTGACATTTGGTGATGAGGAGACAGGATTCTCGGACAACAGTCTTCAGGACAAAGTGTAGCAGCTCATCATTCAGTCTGTAAAAAAAAAAGAAGAGTCATTTTCTCTGTGAAACTGTTGTTTTATCTCAAAAAGGTTTTAGTCGACAAAGATTTTTCTTTTGAATTTTACAAAACATTAAACAAAGTATTATCATTCTTTAACAAATGTAATTATAGGTCAGACGTACTCTGAGCTATTGGAGTGAGTTTCATATCAACATCATTTATTTTACGGCTTTGGGACAAAATCTCAGCTGTCCCAAATGTTGTTAAACAAAAATCCCCAGACTGGTATCTTTTATTTTTTACTTTATTGATAATCACAATAGTGTATATAATTTATTGATGCAAATTTGTGCATCATTCTGCAGATTTCCACTAAAGAAATTAATGATTTTTTTCCTTAACAGAACGGACTCTTAGGGAGCATAAAGAGTATTCTACACAATATTTATACAGAAATGTGTTTGTTTAATTCAATATTTGAGTTATCAGACCTCCATCTCAGTGTCAGTAATGGTTTTCCATAGAACTGCAGTGTTTTGAGTTTTCACGAGCCCACAGAATTAATATAAATAACCCAGTTCTGCTCTTGAGCATCAACAGTGATGCTCATGCACTTTTAGATGGGCTTAACTGTGATGCTGATGGGTTAAAAAGCAGGAATGTGACTCGTTATTAGGAACCAGGGAGCAGAGACAATAATCCTGACACACTGGCTTTAAAACCTTAAACCTTTTCAGATAAAACCTGTTAAAAAACATAATTTTTTCATTTATCTGCCCAAAAGCATGACTTTTTCAGGAAGCACAAGGATAAAAAAATGTGTTAATATTACAGATGTGTTTAAAAGTAACAACGTTGTCGCTCGTAGTAGTGTCAATGAGCGAATTTGCGCTGCGCATTCCCACGGCTGAGCAGAGCTGAGTGAAGTTGGCTTCCAACCCACATCAGAAATCCACGCAAATAGAGTGGTTGGTGCTTTCTGATGTGGGTGGGGAGCTAGCTTCACTCAGCCGCTGAGGATGGTCTGTGAGCAGAGGACACACAGACAGCAGCACTGTTACTTTTAACTTGCGAGAGACGGGCAGAAATGTGCATCCTGAGCAAAGTTTTATTCTAGTCTCAGCTCGTTAACGAAAACCGCCGTTCGTCTCATCATGTTTTAGTCACCAAAGAGCTATTTTTAGCTCGTCAGCTTTGTTATGAAAAAAAAAAGAAAACAACAATGCTGTGAAAGAAGATTCATCCCATCAATTTTTTATGGCAAAAATTATTAAGAGAGACTGAAAAGCCTAACTTTGATCTTTTCTATATTTACTCTCAGGCATGTGGGGAACAAAAAGGCCCAAAGGAGATGTAAGAGAATAATATTAGCACTTGGAGAAAAGCTGTTGCAGAACTTATCAGTACAATGTGATAACAAAGGGACCGGACTATTTAAGCTAGAAAACAGTTTAATCAGAGTAGGAACAGGAAGGATGCTGATAAAACCACATCGCAGAATGTGGTGAAGTTATCTAATCTTGTTTCCCATGACAATTTAAACAATAACAAATGTATAAAAGCCAAGAGGTATCCTTTGGAGGGAAGCTGGTGGCCCCGTTACCTGTAGTGATCATCTTCTTCATTCCCAAATCGATTCTTCTGTAGTTGTTCTGCTAAGTTAGTAAGGATGACATCCCGGAGTTGGGACAGGCCACCACTTCTTTCCCCTGAGAATTTCAAATAGAACAAAACACATAAGATAAAGCAGCAACATAACAGGCCCTTGCTTGTTTAGTTAAAACAAGAATATCACCTTCAGTTAGAACCAGTTTCAGCAGTTTGTTGAGTTCTGCCTCCCCGTGATATAAGGTGTGCAGGCCAGAGCTACAGAGACAGGAAACAGTAGAGGTCCATGAGAAAACAGTTACTGTAACATAATAAAAACTAGAACATCAAACATACCTGATGGCCAGGCACACTTCCCTCTGAATCTCTGTTTCGATCTGATCTGATGGAGCCATGAGCAGCTGCCACAGGAGTAAACTGGAACGGCGGATGCTCTCTCTGTCCTGCTCTGACTGAGGAGTGAAAAACCTGAACACCACCTGGAGAAGGCAGACAAATAAAGAACTTTAACCCTCCCACTGTCTTTATGGGTGACCCTGTGAGGAAAGTTGACCATTGAGCAGGATTGATGGTTTATCCCTTGAGGTCCACGTGACAGGGGTGAGGTGGTGCTCACTCCTCACCCCTGTCACATGGACCCAAGGGATAAACCATCAACCCTGCTCAATGGTCACCTTTCCTTGCAGGGTCACACCCATTAGGACAGTGGGAGGGTTATGAACAGTTTGAGCCGTTTTCAGCACATCTTAATGCACATCTGCTGGCGCTGACCTGGAACACCACCAGGATGCAGCGGATGATGCAGGTATCCCCATTCACCATGGCCTTTTCCATGATGTCACAGATGCTGCTGAAGTGGCGGGCCTCGATGGGATGCTGTTTGCCCAGCAGCGCTTCTAGGGGCAAGCTGTTGCTGCTGGCTGCCAGCAGGTTGAGCTGGTGGATGCACATTGCACCTACATGATGAAGCAGCTGGTTGATCACCTCCCCAGTGGCCACCGTTTCCTCTGAAAACAAAAAGGCAGATTTTGTAGATGACTGAAGGGAATAAAGCAACAGCCTTGTGGTTTTGGTGCAGACCGAGTCTACCTTTGGGCTCCTTGATGACGTGGCTAACCCCGAGCCTATGGCACACATGATGAAAGGCCTGGTTTCCAGGATTACACCACTGGTCTATGTAATCACTGGAGCAGGTCCAGATCAAGTTGTTCAGTGCGTCATAACACGCTCCTATAAAGTCAAAACCGACACAACATAATGAAATGACATGAGCTACACTCTAGTTTTGTGACATTATAAAGCATTAAAACACATAAACTTGACTCACCTAGTCCTGCTACCTGAGCCCCCCTGCCAAGAGAACTGCCAGGAGCATCGATGAGGTCAGCACGGCTGCTGAACTGACCGTCGGCCAAGTTAAAGACCAGGCTGGAAGCTAAAACTGAATAAAAACAACTCCGGCTTAGAACAAACAGCATGGATTACGTTAATGACTGAGAGTCTGCGTTAGCTTACTTTTAAGTGAGGACAGGCTGCTGGTACCTCCAAACAGGGAGCGTGTGGCAGAGCTCCCAGAAACACCGGGAGGTGAGACCAGCATCACCAGATAAGTTCCACATACATACATCGGGGTCTTTCTGAGGGTCTTCAGAGGAAGTCCACAGCTAGTGTTGACAGCTGTGGAAAAGTGGTCAAAATCAACCGAACATAACATTAGTTTCGATGTAATTATGTCTTTTCTAGAGCATTAGTAGTGTTTTCAGCTTTACCCGACTGTTCCTCTTTTACAGTGTTGGTGATGGCAGAGCCCGTGAGAGCGGCTAACGTGGCAGAGTGGGAGGCTCGGAAGCGTGACATTCGACTCAAGAGAAGCTCATTCAAGCACTTGGAAGACTCGCCCTCTTTGCGAGCGAGAATAACCCGTTCCTGCAAGATGTCGGCAACGCACAGCCCCATCTGAGTCTGTGCCAGGGAGAGAGGAACGGAAAGGTAGAGAGTCAATAAATAAACGCATGAACAGAACAAACACATGTTAGATTTGTGGGAAGGTGTGTGTCAAAACTCACCGACAGGAGAAAAACATCCATGAAGACAGAGTGGCCTTTCTGTGTCTTCTCATTGAGACTGGCTGGGGACCAGACCCAGTATAGATAGGTTCCATCTGAGCAGAGGTGCAGCGTGGTCATGCTGCTGCCCACAGGGAAGTGATGAGCTGGCATGGGCACAATCTGGCACACCTAACGCGTGGAGCAATGAGTGTCGGATTAAGCAGCACCTGTTTGTTTTCACTAAAACCCTGAGACGATCAAACTTTACACCCGGAACACACCAGCTGTGAAGCGCCGTGAAGTGGACCGCTCATGAAACTCGTGCGCTGTCCGCTCCTCCTCTGTTGACATCAGGCGAGACTTTCCGACAAGCGCTTCTGCTCACGCCTACTGTTTTTCCAAAGCCCCCCACCCAGCCCCCGTGCCCTTGCTGCGTGCATGTCTGTAACCAGTTTGCCCCGCTTGTTGATATCGGAAACTGCGCTGATCCTGCTGCTGTGTATTTGTTTGTATTCACATTTGTTAAATCCATCTTTTGCTGTAAAAACTGCATTTAAAATGATGGAAATGCCATGTTTCTCCACAGGAGTGTGTGTGTTTGTTCATTTTCATCTCTCTACTCTGTTTAGATACACAAAAATTATCACTTTATCAATCGCTGTGTTTTATTTAGAATTTTTTCTTTCATTTTATTCAATTTACCAGCCTGCCTCTTCTGCTTTGGTTTGACTTCCTGCCAGAATTGACGCGGCTCACTCACGGCTCACGAAAAAATAGAGCTCACACCGAAACAAACGCTGCACAGAGCAAACCGTCGTGGCGCTTCGCAGCTGATGTGACCAAGAGCGTAGGTTAACAAGGGCGCCAATTAGAATCGCTCGTCGTTCCACGGCACTTTGTTGTGCTTCCGTGTCGGGTGTGATCCGGGCGTTATGCATCCAGACGTAAAAATGTCTCTAGTGGAAAGGTTGAACCACTTCACATGATCAGCAGACTGCAAGTGGACAGTACCTGGAGAGTGAAGGGGTCAATGACCTGGCACAGCTGATGAGGCTTGGCATCAAAGGAAGAAGGACGGTGGAGGAGGCGACCGCTGCTGAAAACTACCCAGCCAGGCTCCAGCTCCTCATTTCGACAATACACAAAACCCCTGAACAAACACAAAACACACGCTTAACAAGGCTGTGACTAGATTCAGTCACGTTTCAGAATAAAGCCGTCAACAAAAATGTCAAAAGTGAGTTTTAATTAACACATTTCTAGTTTTTATATCAAAATTTTCTTGTGCTGTTCTGCTAAGTAACATTTAAATAAACAGAAGGGGATTTTAATGGCTCTGCTGTTTTAAAAGGCTGGAAAATTTAAAAACTGGAACAGAAATACTTAATTGCTTCGACTAAGAACAACAGTCTGTCCTGTGAAGATAAGGTTATATGGCAGGGTTCTGTCTCTGTTTCTCTCTCTCTCTCTCTGTCACACACACACACACACACACACACACACACACACACACACACACACACACACACACACACACACACACACACACACACACACACACACACACACACAGCTCATCTCATCCTCTTCTGCCACAAATGAGGTTTTTCTGTGATTACCAATATATATTTAATTTAAGTGCATTTTTCTTCCAGTGGCAAGAGATGTTTATTCAGTCTCTTTAAGTGTGAGTTCCTCTAAAACTTTAGGATTAATAAAGGAGCGTCCATCCTCCAGCTCCAATCAGCCTTTCTACTGTTGCACAAATAACCCTGGCTCTGATGTCTTCACATGGCTTCACTTTAAAACCATCTTTCTAATGAGTCTGATTAAGCTTTATATTTCAGACACAGTGGTGCAACAATATAAAAAGTGTTGCCGTGTTTTTTTCTTGCACGCTATTAAAACTCAAGCATCATGTCAGTGAGCTAGCTGTGAAGCTGAATCCTGTTCTTTGCAACAACAGCAGAGCAGTTTGCTGTTGTTCAGCTTCAAATTAAAGTTTTTGGTTCTTTTTTACATTTTATTGATCTAAAAATAAAAGAAAACTGCTTTAGAATTCATTTTATTCTCCAATGTAAACAACAAAGTGTGTACTTCACAGATAGAATAAATGGTAAATGGCCTGTTGTTGATATAGCGCCTTCTAGGGTCCTGGAACCCCCCAAAGTGCTTTACAAAGTGCCCTGGGGCGCACTGACAGAGGCAAATAAATAAGAATAACAAATAATAAAAGAATAAGCTACATAGCTGCAAAAATAATTTTGATTTTATGATGTTAATCTTTTTATAATTCTATGACTTTGTTTTATTTTGTTTTGATCTATGCAAAGCACTTTGTGATTCTATGTCTGTGATAAGTGCTATATAAATAAAATGTACTTACTTACTTACAAAAATCAGACATGTTTCAATTTTTTTAAAGCTTTTGTTCACAAGAAATATATGAATTTTGATTTTCTTAGCTCTAAATATAATCTTTGTAATGGTTTCTGGTGCCATCTGAGTAATTTACTACAAATGCATGAAATGGAAGATAATAATCATTTGAATTTTCCATTATTTGTCCCTTTAAAAAGAACCAAAAGGGACATTTTGCTTGTTCCACCATCTATATGTCATATTTGTGTCCTTTCTTTCTTGCTGGTTGCTGAACGCTACAGATGCACATCAGAATGAGTGTCATGTTACCTCAGAGTCCCGTGTAAACCAGAGCCAAGTTTGCTGAGTCCTCTCCCAGAGGAATTACTGGTGTACAGATATAGTCCATCTGTGGCTAGACAGCGCCCTAGATCTGTGTCTGCAAAACAGGAGGTAATAAAAAAAACATTAAATTAATATATTACAACAGCAGGCTTATGGACCAGAGGAGATACAGGTGCTGGCCAGTAAATTAGAATATCATCAAAAGGTTGAAAATATTTCAGTAATTCCATTCAAAACGTGAAACTTGTACATTATATTCATGCAATGCACACAGACCAATGTATTTCCAATGTTTATTACGTTTAATTTTGATATTTATAGGTGACAACCAATGAAAACATCAAATCTGGTATCTCAGAAAATTAGAATATTCTAAAGGCCAATGAAAAAATGTTTGTTTCTCTAATGTTGGCCAACTGAAAAGAATGAACATGAAAAGAATGTGCATGTATAGCACTCAATACTTAGTCGGGGCTCCTTTTGCCTCAATAACTGCAGTAATGCGGCGTGGCATGGACTCGATCAGTCTGTGGCACTGCTCAGGTGTTATGAGAGCCCAGGTTGCTCTGATAGTCGTCTTCAGCTCCTCTGCATTGTTGGGTCTAGCGTATTGCATCCTCCGCTTCACAATACCCCATAGATTTTCTATGGGGTTAAGGTCAGGCGAGTTTGCGGGCCAATCAAGGACAGGGATACCATGGTCCTTGAACCAGGTGCTGGTGGTTTTGGCACTGTGTGCAGGTGCCAAGTCCTGTTGAAAGGTGAAGTCTGCATCCCCATAAAGTTGGTCAGCAGCAGGAAGCATGAAGTGCTCTAAAACTTCCTGGTAGACGGCTGCATTGACCCTGGACCTCAGGAAACAGAGTGGGCCAACACCGGCAGATGACATGGCACCCCACACCATCACTGACGGTGGAAACTTTACACTGGACCTCATGCAACGTGGATTCTGTGCTTCTCCGCTCTTCCTCCAGACTCTGGGTCCTTGATTTCCAAAGGAAATGCAGAACTTGCTTTCATCAGAAAACATAACTTTGGACCACTCAGCATCAGTCCAGTCCTTTTTGTCCTTGGCCCAGGCGAGACGCTTCTTGCGCTGTTTCTTGTTCAAGAGTGGCTTGACACACGGAATGCGACACCTGAATCCCATGTCTTTCATGAGTCTCCTCGTGGTGGTTCTTGAAGCGCTGACTCCAGCTGCAGTCCACTCTTTGTGGATCTCCCCCACATTTTTGAATGGGTTTGTCGTCACAATTCTCTGCAGGGTGCGGTTATCCCTAGAGCTTGTACACTTTTTTCTACCACATTTTTTCCGTCCCTTCGCCTGTCTGTTAATGTGCTTGGACACAGAGCTCTGCGAACAGCCAGCTTCTTTAGCAATCACCTTTTGTGTCTTGCCCTCCTTGTGCAAGGTGTCAATGATTGTCTTTTGGACAGCTGTTAAGTCAGAAGTCTTCCCCATGATTGTGGTGCCTTCAAAACAAGACTGAGGGACCTTTTAAAGGCCTTTGCAGGTGTTTTGAGTAAATCAGCTGATTAGAGTGGCAGCAGGTGTCTTCTATAATCAGCCTTTTCAGAATATTCTAATTTTTTGAGATACCAAATTTGGAGTTTTCATTAGTTGTCACTTATGAATATCAAATTTAAATGTAATGAACATTGGAAATACATTGGTCTGTGTGCATTGCATGAATATAATGTACAAGTTTCATGTTTTGAATGGAATTACTGAAATATTTTCAACCTTTTGATGATATTCTAATTTACTGGCCAGCACCTGTATATACTGTACTTTGCTCGTGTGTTTTCTTCAGAGATCTGATCGAGATAATTGAAGCATCAGGTTAATTTGAACTACAAACATGCCTCTTTTATTTTTTTACTTTTTTAGCAGCGTTTACCTTTACTTTCTGATCCTCCTGCAGAATTATCAGGCGTGGGCAGCATGTCCTCAAAACCCCAGGACACACTGTGTTTGCCCCCTAATAAGCAAGATGGAGAGCCCGGGCCTCCTTCAAGGAGCAAAAGTCTAATGAAAGAGACAGAAAGGGTTTAGACGTCAGTCGATCCAGTGATCTAGTCATTACAACACATCCTTACCTGTAAAGAACGTCTGAAACAGGAAGCTGGCCCAGATGAGTCTGTTTTTGCAGCAGGTGAACTGTGTGGATGAATGTCTTCAAGGAACCCCTAGAAAACGGTTTGGCACATCATGAGGTCTCAGAATTAATTCAAAAGAAAGAACATTGCTGAGTGCTTCTGGGACTGGAAAGGAAATAATAACTTAGTCTGAATAACAGAAGAGATGTCTGATTGTAGAAATGGAACTATAAAGCAAATTCTAATCTTTTTACTCGTGTCTGAGTATTAAGGTTCTGCTATTTTGTCAGATATTAGTTTTCTTGGGCTTTAGTAAGTAACTTACTTTGTGTTATGAACTAATTTATAACTGAACACATTTAATTTAATACATTCATGTAATTGTATAAACTGCAACAAAATGTAGGAAAAGAACAACTTTAATGTTTACTAAATAAGTGTTACTAAAAGTTATTAAAGGTGTTGAACACTTGTTTAATCAATACGTTTGCAGTGGTCTCTAGTAGGAATGAACGCCTTGTAAGTCATACTCAGAGGGAAAAAAGTGCGCCTATTTCAGGAAGTACATGTCAGCTGGAGGAGAAAGTAGCTTCCGACAGCAGGATTTGGAGTCCTATTTCCTGAAATTTGGAAATCTCGCCTCTGATTGGCTAACAGAAACACGACTGCCACTGACTCAGTTTGCTCAGCAACGTTGCTGATTTATCTCCACAAATATCACAAGCCTGGAGGAGTTCTGCTGTGAGGTGTAGTTGCTGACGTTAGCTTCTACTAGGCCAGATGTTCTCTGCTGTTTCATGGACGCTAAAACATCAACAGCCTTCCCAGTCATGAGTCAAGATGGGTGAGTCCATTAATGCGAAGTGTGACCTAGATCTGTCAGGCTTCTCAAATCCTAGAGTTTCATCATTTATTTTCCATCAGAAGCTAATGTAGGAGATACATGTAGGAGACTATTTTCATGTTCTGCCTGCATGAAGTGCAGTTAAGCACATTTCCCTTTGATCAACTCGAACTGTGGGTAAAAAGCTGGATGGTTCCACACAACAAAAAGCTTTTGGCTGTAAATAAAGAGCTCTCAGTCTAAACTGATGTGGAGCAAAACAGGAGTAGGGTTCTGTTTGTGAGAAAAAACGTGCACAATATTCAACACATCATGTACGTCCTTCTGTGCACACACACACACACACACACACACACACACACACACACACACACACACACGCACACATTCTAGTACAATATTGTTTAAAGCTACAAGCGGCAAAAACATTTCAAGCCACTGGCAGAGCCCACAAGTCATGCAGACAAAGCACCAGTACACACAGCGGTCAGAAAGATGTGTTAGAATATTTTAAACTTTAGCTTTTACATAGAAAAAAGTTATTTGTGTTATTTCAGAAGAGACAAATTGCGTTCTTAGAGTTACAAAAAAGTGACTGAGTGACCTTTAATGGCATAAAATATCCAAAACCTGATTCTTTTTCTCTCTTATTATTCAATAGTAATACTGTAATAATTACTCATCTACCAGATGAAGTTTGTTAGTAGAAACAGATGGTATGGCCTCACCTGGCACATGCAAGTGCTACTAAAGCAGCTGCAGCATTTTCCCGCTGTCTGTGTGTGTGTAGAATGTGGGATTGAGTTTGCACATGAGGTTGTCCGGACTCCTGAGAACCGTCCTCCAGCCAGGAGCACAGCAGACCCTCCAGGCCATTGAGACAGTCAGCGGGCTCTTTGCTGAGGCTGAGTGGCTGGCAGTCCCGGAGGCAGGCTAGCAGAACTTCTGCAGTGACGCCGCACAGTGCTGGGTCACTGCGGGTTTGGGACTGCAAAAGGGGGAAGACCAGCAGCAGGGCGACACGGGATGTAAAAGGGGCCTGCTCAGGCTGCTGGAGCAGACCTTGTCTTTTGAGTAAGGCTAAGGTCTCCTCGTCAGCGCCTCCAGGTCCCTCTCGCTCCTGCTGCACCTCCAGGGCCAGCTGCCGCTGCGCAGCCCACAGGCCACGCAGAGCATTGAGCCGGTACTCCAGCAGACGAGCATACGCATTGCTTTGATTTCCACAGACGGCACGGAGACGCTCAGCAAGCTCAGCGGGGTTCTTCGTCTCAAAAGTAAGGATCTGGAGGAGAGAGATGGTAAAGTAGACATCAGCAGCTTACTAATTTGTGAGAGTTGTATCTAAATCAGAGTTTTAAAAAAGATAAATGTTAAGTTTTTAAAAAATAATTTTATTGTGTATTATCTTTTTAATATAATCTAATGGTCTTTTTTAGAAGGAATTTAAATTTCAATGTGACTTTAAAAGCAGAAGCACAGAAACAAAGACTTTAATTTTATAAAGCAGAATGTGAATTTTGTTTCTCAGTGGTCTATTTCTGTTGACATCAAAGTTTTATCTGTCATTTTAGGACTCATAAACAAATATTTAACTGTATAATCAAGGTATTTGTTTGTATTATGCCACTTATTAACTAAAACATGATAGAAAGCTGGTAAAATAATAAAACTCCTTTCAGGAAATTAGAATCTGTACAATTATTTGGACTAACTGCCAGAAAAAGCAAAGGTATAGCATATCAGTGAAACAATGCGCCTCTCGTGCACTTAGGATACATCACAGATATTGATTACATTCTGCTGCCCACCAATCAGTGTGGGAAAAAATTCCATTATACCATTTAGCAGGCACAATTTGTATTGATTTGATTTCAGAAATGCTACTTATGTTACAGTAGCACCCCTTATCTGGGCGCTAAGCTTTCTCCACCTTTCTCTGCAAATGCACTGCTGCCACAGCATACAAAGGAGATTGTCAGAAACACAGCTCTTCCTGAATCAGAACTAAAATGACAGAGTTAGTTTTAAAACTGGACACAAAAGGAGAGAGAAGAATTGGGAATCTAAAAATAATCAGAAGTAAAAATTTAAAAGAAGCCTTAGACCAGGTTGGGATTGTATTGTTGGATGGTTTGGGTTTTGTGTTTGCTTGTATTCAGCATCTCAAAATAAAGTTTTCAGATTTTAAGTTCAAAATGGATCTAAATGTTGTTCACCACAGCAAGTCTACAGCAGAAAGAAGTGAATGAATGAGTAAAATGGCAAACTCATTCAAACAGCCAAGTTCAAAATGCCTTTAGGTGGGAAATCAAGAACAGGCTGATCTCACATAGGGGAAATTAAAAATAAATCAAGAGAATTTAAAACCAGTGAAGGCTGTCTGTTAATGTGCACACCAGAGGCCCTGTAAATAAAACATTAAAGCAGTAATTACTCAACCGCATATCGACTTTTCTTAGAATATCCCCTCAGGGAGGTCAGGACATTAAACTGAACCTGTATGTCAGGGTCTTGTTTTCAAAACATCTTGTTTTCAAAACATCCAATTATTAATCAGTGAATGCAAACGATCATAAAGAGACGAGCTATTAGCATTGGCTTCCAAAAAGCATATGTTCACCACTAACGCATATGTTATATCAGCTCAAACTTTATTAAAAGGTAGCGTTTAATATGTGAAGGTTGAAAATATTCATTGTTTTACAGCTCGAAGTTTCTAAGCATCAATTGTGAAGGCTGGCTTATTTTACTTCAGAGTAACATTCGGTTTCCTTATTTTACATTCACAATTAAAAACAGACGAAGAATTAAAGCTTTAAAGGACAGTAAATAAATGTTAAGCATCAGAAATGTAAACATTTGTTTTAAAGTTTAGGTGTTTAAACGAGCAGCAACACGTTATATTTGTATTTAATCTAATTTACGAAATAAAACTTTTGTGATCCTACGTAAAATGCTTTTATTTTGAAAGGCAAGACAGGAAATACGTTGGTCTCAGCCGAATTTGACGGTGAATCAATAACAAGCAGAGCAGAAAACTTGCAAACGTCGGCGCCGCAGTTATCTCTTGTGTTGCAGAGGGCAGAGAAACATGTTTGAATAGTAACTCAATGATTGCAGTAGCGGGTGTGTGTTACTATTTATAACTGTTTATATGTCTAGTGTGAGAGGCATCTTTCACCCACCTCCTGCTCGGTATCCCCCTGTTCCGACACTCCAATTTCACTGGGCAGCTCGGCCAGATCCGTGACCCGAATTAGTCCGTCGTGGAGAAATATAGTCTCCTCCTTTACCGAAAGCCACTGGGATGAATCCACAGCCCCGGAGCCCATAGCTCTCCCCTCCGACAGTGATGCCAAAAGGGTCGAACATTAAAAATTCAGTGACAGAATGACAGAAACGCCCCAGACAACCGACTGACGACCTACTATGAACACAACTGCAGCCGCGGTCTTGTCCAACAATGGGGTCTGACAGGGACAGACTGTGGAGCTAGGATGCACACTAACAGACCACAGCCGGCCAGTGAACGAATAGCAATGGTTCTCTTGCCTTGTTAGCTTAAGCAAAGCTAACTTACCGTTCGGTATCGCTTCAACGTAACCGATCACAGTGGGCGTGACACTCGCACTAAACCCGTTATTACCCTGCGCTGTCTACGCGACAATCCTGTCGGAGGGGACGCTACATCTTCAGTGATGTCATTTGACGGTTAAAATCTCTTTGTAAGTATCTCCAGTACCGGCCCAGCCGCTGTGTCACTGCCTGGAACAGATAACGGCTGTCAGTGCGAGGCCATGTTTCCAAGGCCAACAAGCTGCACCCAGCATGCACCGCGCGTCAGAATAACCTGTCAAAATTCATGAGCTCATCATTACTTTCTTTCTTTAGCAAATATTAGACACAAATACTATACTCGTGGTATTTAATGAGTTTATTTCATTTTTTTTAACTATAAAAAAGAAAATTTAATTTCTTCAATCGTTAAGCATGGAGGTGGAACTGTAATGCTGAGGGCTGCCACTGGTTCGCTAACTTTGTGATAAATGGCAAGCCATTTGTGCATTTTTTTCGTATGCTTTGTGTAATTACTTACAATTATCGTTCCCCTTTAATATTAGGAAGATGACTTCAAATTTAGAACGTTACATTTTGTTCTTTCTTGTTTTTGATGTTTTTTTTAGAGTATTTGCTCCATTATGAAACATTTTGCATACATTCAGGCCTGAGGAGGGGAATTAATTTTCCCAGAGGGCCACACAATGTGCTGAGACTATAGGTGAGGTCCAGGCCAATGCACCAAACTCAACTCTGCTAAATAAAACATTTATACAATGTTATAAATAAGATTTCCTCTAATTGGAGACATTAATGATAACTGGGCAGTAAAGAAATTTGGGGAAAATTGATTAAACTAATACAAAAATGAACACTCACATGTCAAATGCTTTTTTATTGAAAAATAAATTTAACAATTATTACAAAAGCCAGTCAAATGACTGCCAGTTGAACAAAAAACAAATAACAAAATAAGGATCAAGTCTGTCTGAAACATGAACCTTTTCAAATTAGTGCTGCACACAGCTCAGTCATTTAGTTTTGACATTATATCAGCTTTCATCTGTAGCTTAAGGCAGTGCTTATAAAGGCGAATGGGAATCCTTTTTTTTCTGTCACTAGCTGAAAATCCCATCTCAGGAGCGTCTTTTTCCTTTAGCTTCTTAAGTGCTCGATGTAGGTCAGAGGCTTTAGTGAAGCCTTCAGCACATCTAGAAAGAAAAAGTGAAAAATTAAAATGAGATCATGTGTTTTATGGGTTAACACACCAAAGGGACTGGGTGTGCTACAGACTTAGCCATAATAAGCACTTCAGAGCTTAACACCTTTTTTTGCGATTACATTTTGTCTCCTTTGGCAGAGTAAAGCACTGCTGAGAGACAAAATCCACCAAGAGAGATGGAGGAATGCTGGCTTTCTTCAAGTTTTCAATCTGAACAGCCAACCTGTAAAATTGACACAAGACAAGAAAAGTCATACATTAATTAGAACTAAATTTGACTAGCTGAAAATACATACTGCACTTAGCATTTAACCATTTATTGAGTTTTATTCAAGGGTAGCGCTGTTGCCTTGCAGAAAAAAGGTCCTGGGTTCACATCTTTCTGCAAAGAGTTAGCACTGCCCTGTGATTGACTGGCAATTTGTCCAAGGTGTGCCCCACCTGACTGCTGGACATAGACCCCCCCCCACACACACACACACACAACCCTGCACAGACGGGTGGATTCAGATAATGCTTTTTATTCAACACACAGGCTATGTAAACGGTCCTTATCCAGCACATCCATTACAATTGATTTCATTTTTGTTTGAATTTTCCAAACATCTATTCGTTAACTGGGCCTGTTTGATCCTGTTCAGAGTCACAGAATGTTAATTAGCTAAATTTAGTTTTAATTGGTAAACGTGATGAATAATTGTGTGGATCTTTGGTGTACTTAAAAAGTTACTGAAATCTCTGCGACTTTTGAAGTTTGTACAGTAACATAATTATTATTTGAAAGAATGAATAAGAACAACTTTGGTTAAATTGTGCTATTTTGCTGCTGTTGCTATTTCCTCGTGATTTTTATCTTGAGAGGCGCTATAGAAATGATATTTTCTTCTTCTTCTTCTTCTTCTACCTTTATTTCAACTTTGTGAAGAATCTGTGTAGGATAGGAAAAATAAGCCTTGGCTTCAGCCTTTTCCTTATTGTTTTTCCTCTGTTACAGTGTTTGTTAAATTCCTTTCTGTTAGATGAATATTCCTAAATGTTTTTAAATGACTAAATAGTGGGATTAATTTGTTCTCTGAACACTTTCACACGTGCTGTGATAAATCATGACACAGCAGCAACTGAGCATTAATAAAACTAAACACACGATGTCGCTGTAACCACAGCACAAATGCATCTGTTTCATTAAGCACCTGACTGAATCTGACATGTAACACAAGCAAAAGCTCTAAAATAAATTTGCTGCAACAATATCTTATCCTGCTAAAGAAGAATTTGTTAACACTTCACAGTAAGGGTTCCTTTATTAACATTGCTTAGTGCATTATTAGGCATTAATAAAGTATTAAATGAAGTAACAGTTGCCATAAACAATGTTATGCAATGCAAAACTAAGCAACCCCCTTGTCCTTACCTTAAAGACACTTAATAGTTAATATTTACAGTAACTTTATGAGTAAAAGGGGTATGATGTATTTGGAGTGATGTTAAATGTTGATTGTATTTTCATCATATCTTTGTTCCCTTATGTTTTAGGACAATAATTATGAAAAACAACATTTTTATAAAATATATTTTTAAATAAAACAGCACTTTATTTTAGAAGTGTGGTAAATGATGCAAGATAACTGGTAGTCTTTCAATACTATGGGGTAAAGCAACAAGAAAATAAAACATTTCATTTACTGGGTTTGTGCTCTATTTGCAACCTACACAGCACTTTTTAGTTTTTCAGGTTGATTCCATTCAACTTGAAACATCATCAGATAAAATCTTTCATGTTCACTGCTTGAGTTGGAAATAGAAGTTATTTGGTGATTTCATTAAAGGTGGAACACTCGTTTAAGCAACACATTTGCAGTGGTCTCTGGTAAGAATCAATGCCTTGCAAGTCGTACTTTGGGAGAGTGCACCATTTCCAGGATGTAGAAGTTAGCCACATCACAGCTGAGCTTCAGACGGCAGGTTTTGCTGTTTTATTTCCTGATCCATGGACATCTCACCTCTGATTGGCTAATGGCAACAGGACTCTACCACTGACTGTGTTTGCTCTGCAACATTGATGTTTTATCTCACAAATAATACAAGCCCGGAGGAGTTCTGGTGTGTGGTGGAGTTGCTAAAGCTAACGGTTAGCTTCTATCAGCTGAGACATTCTCTGCAGTTTCTTGGGCACTAAAACAATCCAACTCAAATCCTAGAGTTTCATCGTCTATTTTCTATCAGAAGCTAATGCAGCATCAGAATGACAGATTATAATCAGAAATCCAATTTTTAAAATGGTTTTTCCGTGTTCCACACCTTTAACTTTCTACATAATATTAAAAGATGATTTAAAACAGCCGAGAGGTTGACAGAAGGTGATACTATACTGGCTGGTGCAGTCACAGTGGTAAGCAGTCTTGGAATCCATATTCTGTAGATTATATTTCTTCTCTAGTGGAGGGATTTTGAATTTACAGTCATCCAGATGTGTGAGGCCTCGACACTGGAGCTGATTATCTGGAAAAATAAAAATAAACATATTATCTTTGTGCACTTTTAATAACTAAGTAAATGCTTTCCATCTGATAGTTTTGTTTATAAAAATAAACTTTTCACATTTTTCATTACCACAAATTCATAGTAAACTTTTCTATGCTGACCTACTTGCAATGAGTGCTGATAAATGAGGTTTTATGTGGATTTTCATGAAGGAAATTTCCCCCGGTCACCTTTTTATAGCCATAAGTCATGCAAGTCTCTATGATCTCTTTGATTCAGCATCAAACCAAAGTTTAATTGATCCTTGAAGTAAAAAATACATTTCAGTAAAAGTGGTTTGAAAAAAATGCCCATAAACAACTATTGGCTCTAAAAACTCAAGCTGATGAGAGAATCAAATTAAACAATGTCTTCATTTGATTTTCCAGATGTAATCAGACGCTATCGCTTTAACAAAACCAAGTTGTGAACAAAAGTCTTCAAGCCTACCTGTCAGCTCATGCAGCTGATTATTATTTATTGATCTCTCCTTTGGTTTGAGGTCTCCAGCCTTGGTGTTTCCTCCTAGGAGCTGCTGGGTTGTTTTGTTTGACAATAGATAGACGCCTAACCCTTTTTGACAATCTTTAAGAAAGCATGCTGAAGGTTTTAGTCGTGTCTTGGTGGTAGTTGAAAGACTTTCTGCAGTCTTCTTGTGGACTTCTGTTGTCTTTTTAATTTGAATGCTCTTATTTTTCATCAGACTGAATGGTGATTCTTTGGTTTTCACCTGAGAACCAGTCGTTGTGTGAAGTGTTTCCTGTTCTAGACAGTTTGCACAATGTAACAGAGGATTGTTATTCTTCACAGGTATGCTAGATCCTCCTTGATTTTGGATTTTTTTGTTCCTTTTAGTGTATTTGGTCGCCTCTTTCGCTGCTGCCTTTGCGTTGGGTCGAAGTTTCAGCCTCTGTGTTGAGGGTGGAATTCTTGAAGAGGTCGTGAAGGACGTGTGAGGACCAGGGCTTGTCAGTGAGATGTTATTTTTCTGTACAAGGCCTGCAAAGCCCTTTCTCCTACCCTTCTTTTTCCCAGTTCTTCTTCTCTCTATCCTCACAGTGGCAGTTTTCTCTCTCTGAGTTGTAGTGTGTGTGATGGGTGTTGTGTGCACGTGTGAGGGTTCTAGTTTTGTTATTTTCTGTTGCTTTTCATAACTTCTTCCTTTTGTCCTTCTGCAGTCAAAACCGTCTCCTCTTGGTGGCTCTTTGAGGCCACATCTGTGTCTAGATTTGGCTGGTTTCCTCTGAGCTTTTGACAAATGACGGTGTTTGCTGCTTGTTGAATTCCTGCTATCAGTCTGCATGTAATCGCTTGAAACTTCAGAGCTGTTGTAGGGCAGAGGGCTTCTGAACACAGCATACGGAGCCAATTTGGCTACTTTGCACCTATGGAGAGTAAAATACAGGTTAAAATAATTTTAAAAATCTATTTATTTGCGATTTCACACCATAATCCAAAAATGTATTCAGCTTTTAAAAGGTGTGCTTGGTAATTTCTACTGAGATATGATCACAAATTTAAAGCTGTTAGAATTGGAGGGGAAAATAAGGAAAATGGAATAGTTTACTGTTTAGGTCTTGACCCGTCTTCCAGATCTTTAGAGTTCGACTAATAAACACCTACTTCCCAAAAATGTGCCTCAAACTGCCTGCTTTGAGCAGGTTTTTGTACATTTACTTTTTTGCAGCCCCTTTAAGAAGAGGTACAGTCAGACTTTCTTAAATGATGCAGCATTTCTGTTTTTAAATTCGCGTTTTTCAAAACTTATGACACCCTTAAGGTACTCAGCTCTGCAAAAATAAATAAAGAAATAAAGAAATAAACATTTGAATCATTCTGCAGGCCTTTTTTTAGAAAAAGAAACAGACATATTTCATTTTTTTGCTCACTTGACGTGCTGATAAATGGGTTTGTAGATGGCCTAATGACTGTGTTCTGTCTGACCTAAAGGAAAATGGTTTGCATCCCAGTTTTCCTAAACAAGATTCAGTTGGCAAATTTCACTTTTTATTTTATGTTTATCAAATTTGGCATAGATGATGTTGAAATTTGTGAGTAATCAGATACTTGAAGTAGAAATCTGGAGCATTTCTCAGAGGACAGCACCTAGAGGCAGAAACATGTATTGCAGCTTAAGCCCTTCACCCTACCTCCCTGATCACAGCTGGAAGCAGCATCTCCCATCCATCCATCCATCCATCCATCCATCCATCCATCCATCCATCCATCCTCTATCTATCTATCTATCTATCTATCTATCTATCTATCTATCTATCTATCTATCTATCTATCTATCTATCTATCTATCTATCTATCTATCTATCTATCTATCTATCTATCTATCTATCTATCTATCTATCTATCTATCTATCTATCTATCTATCTATCTATCTATCTATCTATCTATCTATCTATCATCTATCTATCTATCTATCTATCTATCTATCTATCTATCTATCTATCTATCTATCTATCTATCTATCTATCATCCATCCATCATCTATCTATCTATCTATCTATCTATCTATCTATCTATCTATCTATCTATCTATCTATCTATCTATCTATCTATCTATCTATCTATCTATCTATCTATCTATCTATCTATCTATCTATCTATCTATCTATCTATCTATCTATCTATCTATCTATCTATCTATCTATCTATCTATCTATCTATCTATCTATCTATCTATCTATCTATCTATCTATCTCTACAGGTACTTCCACAAACATGCATGCACCCTCTGTGATTGACATCTTTGTGTAAGCTGTTGCCTAACACTATTGGCAAATGCGGAGTGGCACTCTAACGTCGTTGCATGGGATTCTACTGGATGGGGAGAGCTAGGCAAAAAACTTATGTAACAAACTGTCAACATTTTATCACAGCACAGGGCAAGACTAACACCTGTGGATCTCTAAAAAAATCAAATCCACATCATTCCTGAAGGGGTAACACTCTGGAATGCTGCTTTAAATAGGCAAAGGCCTTTCCTTTCTTTTGCTTTGCTTTTAAAATAGCCACATTGTCCATTTTTACTGAATAAATGTCTGCTCTGCTTACAGCGAGAATTCTGTATGCCATGAATTATTCAAGCAACAACGCCAGCGTGTCTCACTCACATTCCCCACCAGTACATCTGTGTGCACCGCTTCAGCTGCTTCAGCTCAAAGCAGGGAACCTTCAGGATGTTGAAGAAGCTGTAGCCCACCATACCTGAAATGCTATCATTCATGCCCAGGAGGCACTGTCGAAACCTGACAGACAGACAGGGAGCAAACTCAGGTTGAGAAATCATCAAGTTGGACAAATGACAAGGAAATCTTCTTGGAAGCGCATATTTTAAAAGAATTTAGTGGTATTCTGAAAATTTGCAGCTGGTGATGTCTGAGCTGAGAGGTGACTTAATATATAAGTTGGGTGTGAATGATAGGATGTGAGAAAAACTTAAGAAGAAAGTTAGTTTTAGATTAAAAAGCTAAATTACAACATAAAATATATATTATAAATAGGTTTTCTTGTGAGTTATATGGAAAATAGCACCCTTCAAATGTAAAAATGGAAGAAAAGTGTTCTGTGCTGCAGTAAAATGATATTTGTCAATCACAGGTGAGTAGTTACATACAACTGCCTCAGGTGTTTTTCCTTAACTCAGTTTTAAATGTTTGGCTTTGAGACAAAATTATTTATTAGCATTCCTGAGTTGAGTGCAGGTTTTTGAAATGTGAGTATTTTAAGCTAATCTGCCCATGATGAGGCTGTGCTGCTAGTCTGTCCACACCAGCACACAGATGTGATTTACTGCTTGCAGGAGTTTTTCTGCAGGCCACAAACTTGCAATCATGGCTCAGTTTCAAAACCCCAGTGGCTGTATTCAGAGGCCTTACCTTTGGTCACACTCGCAGTGTGAGACTGTGAAGACGTTGGGGTTGAAGACGCCGTAATTCACAGTGAAAGCTGGGATGATGCGCGAGCAGTGGTCATGCTCACGGCAGCATCTGTCTGCTCTCTCAAACATACCTTCACACAAGAAACACATATAAGGAGATCGTTAATGTCATTCACAGGTCTGAAATACCTGTGAATGACATTTAGAGTTGCATATCCTCAAAATACTTGTTCAACCATTTTCAAGTGTATTTCTGTGTAAACATTATAAATAATATGTGACCCATTGTGGATATAACTTCCTGAATGGTCCCGGTTCAGAAAAATAGATATCCTTCAGGACTGATAAGCTAACGCTAGTAATGAGGCCAAGAACAAATATGGTGCCATCATAAAAGAGATTAAATCTCTAAAATTCCATACATGTGGACATTATGAAATTTCAAGCCATTATATTAGACATTATGTGGTTATTTAATTCAATTCAGCCATTTATTAATTTATTTCTAAAGCACCTTCCTGCCACCGATACAATTAACTCATATAAAACAATGCACTGAGTAAAGTTGAGTAAAATTTCAAGTGCACCCTGTTTTGAAATTGAATGAACTCAAAACCAAGAAATTCTTAAAAACATCAACATTAAACAACCACACATCACACACAAACAACAGAATAAGCCAGCATTAAAATAAATGAAGAGCAGTTACAAACCACCATACTACCTTTACAGAATAACAGTAAAAATCACCTAAAGCCGTTTTAACAAAACAATGCCGTCAATTTGCTGCAACGTCATGGTGGCATCAGGTAGCCTTGGGTTGTTTATAAGTGGTGGTGGTGCAATTGTGTCCTTTTTATAAAAGATTAGGCGATGGTGACATAAAGGGAGTGGGGGGCGGTCTCTGTGCTGCCACATACTTCTGTTTATCTTGGACAAAACTTTCTTTTTATTGCAATCGAAGCTGCAATTGTTACATTTTTTTTAACAAGCCACTCCTAAAGGTGTCTGTCCACCACATTCCCCGTGCAGTCTCTGGTGATCTGACTTCCAGCTCTAACGGAGAGAGTCTCCTGGAGTGCTGCAGCGCTCCAGTTTGCCGTTTCAGCAGATTTTGTTCAAAAAGTAAAACTTACGGCCTGTGATTACTTTCATTTTCCATATGGTTGCAGGCCAGAGCTCAGCATTAATTCCCTACGTCATCATGATGCCTCCTTCTGTTGTGCCAATGTGCATTCGTCATTTATAAGACAGGCATTTACAGTGATATTAAGTGAGGCGGAATGAATTTTGTAAAATCAGAGCAACGCCATGCTGGCATGGCGAGCTTATTAGACACAGCATTGCGGTGATATTATGCCGATTTGCCAGGAAAGGTGTGTCTCGTAAAGAGGGCTTAAGAGACAGACACTTAAAGTCCTGATTTAGTCGGGCTTTAAACCTCCAAAGGAAGGTAGCAAAAAAACGTAGATATCAAGTCCAACAGGAATTTATTAACATACATGTACGTTTACAAAGTTACTAAATGCATGGCTGTGTAGCTACATCATTTCATAAACTTTACTATTTATTTGAGACTGGTGCAGTTCTGAGATTTAACATTACACTCAGACTAGTCGTTAGCATATCAGTCGTGTTGGATTTTCCTAAACTGAGGCTGTTCAGAAAGCCCCAGCAGGTAAGATTGGAATAAATAACTAAAATGAACAAAGAAGCTATCACATCTAACGTAGCAGGAAGCTTTTCATTTTACAAGATGATTTTGGATTTGCGGGTCACCTGAAACATCAGTAAAAGACGAGGAAACCTCTGTGGCTATATAGTTCGAAAATAAAAATAATTGCATTAAATAAGTATGTTTAAACGTGGATCTTGCCATAATTCATTAAAGTTGGAGGCTGGTACATCACTTTAATTTCGCAATAAATGTGCAGCCAATGAGGCAATAGGATTTTGTTTGACGACAAATAAATAAACAAGAAGATGTCCATGAAATCAGTTTGAATTTAAACTGAGAATAATCAAATCCAACATCCCCACCTAGCTGCTCGTAGCCGGCCGCTTTGCTCCCACTTCCACACCACAAGGTTCCTGGGAATATCCAGGAGCGTTTCATCCGAGCTCCCCTCTCTGTCCCTTCTGGTGCCCGGGAAGGCGTGAGCGCGCATGGAGCTTCCGGATGCAGCAGCGCACTCAAATTGAACCTTTTCTGAATTTCCTGATCCTGTGTTTGGTTTTTGTCGCAGAAAGCGCGGTAGCCCTCCGTGACACTCGGGTGTGGATGGATGTCGCACGCTATAAACCGTGAGTCCTCCGTCCACCTGGTGAGGTACAGGAGGAAGCGCGCACCGGCTGCGTCTTTGCGCAGAAACGTAACGAGCGTCTGTCCGTCGGTGTGAGACAATCTGAGGCAGGAAAAGTCCAGTCTTGTCACATCTTCTGTTTTAGATAAAAATATTGAGGATAAAACGAAAACAGTTGTCAGTAGCCAGCTCTCCATGTTAGTGCGCGCAGGCAATCCTCATGAAGAACATCTGTCAGATCATCTGAGAAGAATTCCTCCTTATGGGATCAGACTATTTTTTTCAGACCAGCCACCTTAAACATGTCTCTGACGTAATCACTCCCTTTGAGGATATCATGTAAGTGAAAACTTATCTAATTGGTTTGATGATTCATTTGTCAGTGAAAAAAATGAGAGGGTGCTCGCTGCAGAACTACAAAGGCGGAGCTGCACCATAAGGTGGAGCTGCACCAGAGTCAGCCCCGCCCATTCACGCAAACTCAGGCTAGCCCACTGACTTCTTCTGTTTTTGTTTTTCAACTTTATAGCAAACTAACCTGACCCATGAATTACGGCTGTTACTAGTTTACAAATGTTAATGCTATATTCTATGCTCCAATTAAACAAGAAAAATATGACAAAGCCTGAATATATCCCAAAACAAAAAGGTTTCTTTTAGCAAATATCACAGTCGCTCTAACAAAACGGGTGTACAACAGCATTTAAGGCTATCAAATACGTTTTGGGATGTATGGTTTTTCCGGCGGTGTCTCAGTAAAAGTCATTTCAGAAATAATTTGTCAGAAAATTCACAGAATATCCAGATTTGACAACCAAACCAGGCCCGCTTTGGGGGAGGAGACCAAACTGAAGCTGAGATGGGAGGAAAATGCATGAATGAGGCCAAAAATGGCTTCGGCGTGCTTCTTATGAGGAAATGACAATAAAAAGTTCCAAAAGTTAGATTTTTAATTATATGGAACCTTTATAAAAAACTGTTCACTTAAGATTGACAGGCGGTCCAGCATCTGCAGTGATGCGGACGCTGAGCCGATTTATCGTAGTGAAGAGGGAGCTGAGCCAGAAAGCCAGGTTCTCGATTTACCGGTCGATCTATGTCCCAATCCTCACCTATGGTCATGAGCTTTAGGTAATGACCGAAAGAACAAGATCGCAAATACAAGCAGCCAAAATGAGTTTCCTCCGTAGGGTGGCTGGGCTCAGCCTTAGAGATAGGGTGAGAAGCTTGGACATTCGGGAGGGACTCAGAGTAGAACCGCTGCTCCTCCGGACGGAAAGGAGCCAGTTGAGGTGGTTTGGGCATCTGGTCAGGATGCCTCCTGGACGCCTACCTGGGGAGGTGTTTCGGGTATGTCCTGCCGGCAGGAGGGCCCCCGGGTCGACCTAGGACACGTTGGAAAGGTTACATTTCCAATCTGGTCCGGGAACGCCTTGGGGTCCTGCCGGAGGAACTGGTGAAGAAGGCCGGTGAGAGGACGGTCTGGAGCTCCCTAGTTGGGATGCTGCCCCCACGATCCGCACCCGGATAAGCGGAGGAAGACGACAACGACGATCCTCTTTGGTTCCAGAATGCTATCAAGTCTTAGCCTGGCAAGCCAGACTAAATAAATGTATTATTTAGTCTGGCCATGCTCCAATGACGGCTCTCGGTTGTGGGGCGGGTTCTACCGTTGTCTTTCAAATGATCTCCGCATTCCACTGGACAATGAATGTGACATACTCTTGTTTCACTCTGTTGCATCATCCCACCCACCAGGCATATAGAGTGCCCTGATTGGCCCACAAAGCAGATAAAGCTCTGTGATTTGTTCACTAAGCAGATAGAGCACGATTGGCCCACCATTATGGACCAATCACAGCTCTTTATGTGTTTGAAACCCCTCTAGAGAGCTGTGATTGGCTAGCCAGAGTCCTGGTAGGAGCTGCTGAGGTTCCAATGGAGCATGCCTAGACCATTCTTTGCAGAGCAAGAATTTGGTCTAGTTCACTAGGCTAATCAAGTCTGACAACTGGAAGGAATCGGACTGACTCTGATAGAATGGGCGGGGCTGACTCTGGTGCAGCTCCGCCTTTGTGGTTCTGCAGCAAGCACCACTTGAAAAAATGGAAATCCTCTATTTAAGTTAGGTATTCCTTACATGTAGTTTCTACATAATTGGATTAAGTTTGTAAGATGAACACGATTAACTTGTGTAATGGTAACTATACAATATAGTTTATACTTGATTCCTTCTTGTTGGATTAACTTAAAAAGATTGTGTTCATGATTCAGCTCGCTGATTCTTGGATGGATGGAACGGATTTGCCAGCATGCCATGTTCTCACCGTTGAAAATTAAAATAAATCAATTACAGACTGAGTTCAGTTCACATTTAAAGTAATATAAATAACATGAAATATATATGTACTAAAGTTCTTAAGCTGGTGAGCAAAAACAAAAAGCATGACTGAAGAGGATGAGGGGTTCATAAAGCACTCAGCAGTGTCTCAAGGCAGAATGACAGCTATGGCATGTCCAACGTGGTCTGCAGACAAATGTGGCAAGGTGAAGAAACAAAGGTCCAGATTGGATTCGATCCCCATACTCCTAGGTGAGAGTCACATGCTAACCAGTCGGCCATGGATATCCTGTACATGATCAATCGGGATACAGTGCAGGACACTTACCCTGTCACACAAAGAAAAACACAGACACCCCAAGCCCAAATCCTCCAACCTACGTAAGACTTTGATTTTAAAAAATCAAGTTTAGTTTCTAGAAATCATGCTGAGTCAATGCCAAAATATGGAGTTGTAATTAGGACCCAAAATACAGGTGATAGGAGGCAGACAAAAAGAACTGTTTGATATGAATAACAGTAAGTAGGAGTAATACAGCAGGAGGACAAGATGAGGATCTGGCAGACCAGCACAGAGGGTTTAGGATAATCAGGGAAACAGGTGGGCAAGGTAACGAGGGCCAGGTGAGTTCAGTCAACACGAACAAATGAGACGAGACACCAGAGACACAGGAGGCTACAGGAGGAGGTCCTGATAGTCAACATGATTTTTAAAGCAGTTTCACGTGATAGTTAGACCCCATCAAATCAAACAGGATCCAAATGTAGTAAATACGTTGACTCAAGCTTGATGAACTTTGGCTCAACACAAGTACTTTAAATTAGGATAACAGAAATGTGTGATGCTGAACTAAAGCAACTTAATCATGTAGCAATCCTTTCCATGATTTTTTTCATGTTCATTCAAAGAGATATTTCTCGTCCTGGAGACAAAACCTCAAACACTCCTCTGTTTAGGGGCACCTTCCAACTCCTCCTGAGTGGATCACGTGTTCGGAAAACTGATGCATGATCCTTCAGCAGGTTCTGGGTCTCTTGAACCCAAAATCATCCTAATTGTGCTTTGACTCAAATCTTCTTCTGAAATAATCTGGAAGAAAATATGAAATATTTTCTGTGCAGGTATTGGTTATGGGGTTCGATCATCAATGTGGTAAATTAACCACTTTGTGTTGCTGTTGAAGGCAATGCTGCAGGCGGCACCAGATAAAGCTGAAGTCATGGTGACAGAAAAAGAAAAATGATTAGTTTGAAACACAAGTCTTTGATTTCTTTTTGTAATTTTGAATTTTAGAGATGCTACCCACTGTGCAAAAATCTAGTTTGGACGTCCTACAGAGGTGGCCAGGACCGACCGACTCAATATAGACATGATCTGCACATCCATGCGACGTTGGCTGTTTGCAGGGTTATCTTCATCAGATTAAGACCTAACATCTGAAAACAGAATCAGTATTTTATTGCAGCTTTTACTCTTCTTGGCACTTAAAACATGACCCAGTTTATCAGCTGTTAAAACAGAAACCACTGGTTTTAAATCCATACCTAACCTTTATCTTCTCAAACATCTCACACAACACGTCGTTTTTCATCAGCTTTTATTGGTCTGTGGAAACTTTCTGCAAAACCTTTTCATGCAAAGTCATTTGCAAACATACATATTTCAACTTCATGCACTATCTATATACAAATACGGAGAATAAAGAACATTCCACTGAATTGGTCTAACAAAGAAGACGGCTATGATGTTAGCTCAGAGAGAAGCCTTTTTTTTAAAAACATTTGATCATCATGTTATGATCACAGCAGCTGATGTACAATAGCACAGAGTGGAACTGGTGTAAATCAGAGCCATCGGCGTATCGGAGCGCCGTGGCTTCAGAGTAAACATAACACTGGAAAGCTTTGAATGTGCAAGGACAGTCAAATGTTGAGATCCACTGTTGGCGGCTACAATCTCCTAAATTGATGAGCTCTTTGTCAGTCCTGTGGATGCCAACAAACCACTTCATTCAGATCACACCTTAGTCATGCAAAGTATGTCCTCTTGTTCAAACTATAAGTAGAAATGTGGTAAAGTGTAAACATCAATGAAATTACAATAGCTTCTGCTTGTTACAAAGTAAATATATATAGAGAGATATATCTTGAACCACAAGACATGTCATGCATAGGATACTTTTGTTTTGTCTTTGTTTGACACTGGAACAACTTGCAGACAGCTTTGTAAATTGAGGTCATTCCATTTTGTATGGTGTGCTTTCTTTGATTCGCCATAATTAGTGAAAACACGCTCTCTGAAGCCTCGGGTGACTGAGGCGTGACAGAGGGAATAAGAGCCTTGTTTTGTGCAAAGGGGTACATCGGGGTAAAAGCGGGCCAAGATTGCCCCAGGCACATGAGAGTCACAAGCACAGTGCATGCAAGTAGAGCTGCGCACACGCTTTTGATATGACGTTCCATCGTCTCTCCTTGTCAGACGGAGCAGCCAGATTCGTTGAGGTTACCTGTAGGAAACTTGACCGTGTGCATTCGGCGTAAACAGTGCAGTAAGAAAAACCTCTGAGATGCCAGAGGGAACTGCGAACTTTTCAAAGACCAGAGGTAGCAGGATGACGTTCTTCTTCTTCTGTTTTTGTTTTTCTGCCATCCCTCACCGCAACAAAACAAAACAGAGAAATTAAACAAAAACTTCATCGTTAGGGTTCACGTTTCTGTTTTTCTTAACACATAGTTATTATGTCCCACAAATTAAAACTCACAGCTTGAGTAATATTACATAAAAACTCTTGGTAAACTATATAGGTGTGCTAGGATCATTATTTTTTATCTTTAAATCACAAAATAACAGCAACTGATTGAAGAGTAATCTACAGCTCATGGTCCACTCACATGTGACTCATCTGTCGTAGCAGATGTCTATCCTAACCTGAGCAATGTATTAGTATGTAAACATTTCTTGGTGGAAATATACAATATATTCAGAAAGCATGTGTGTGTGTGTGTGTGTGTGTGTGTGTGTGTGTGTGTGTGTGTGTGTGTGTGTGTGTGTGTGTGTGTGTGTGTGTGTGTGTGTGTGTGTGTGTGTGTGTGTGTGTGTGTTTCCAGGCATGCTTATACAGTTTTATGTTTTACACGCACATAATCTCATGAGAAAGTCCAGGTTAAGGACTTTAGTTGTGAACTCAAACATGAGCTTTAGTGATGGCTCTGACCTCTGATGATGCAACATATTGCTTTTCTTTATCTTCGCCAGTGAAGTTTGTTTCCTTTAGAGGACAATGTGCCAAGCTCTCTGCTGTTTGACAACAGATGTTGTGGTTAGATCATTTAAATTTGAATTCAAAGACAGATTTATCAGCACAGGCAGTGAAAATGAGAAAAATTAGCTAAATGGAGAGGGGAAAAGGGCAAATAAGTGCCTGGGTGAAGATCAGATATGTAAGGATGCAACCTGATGGATGTGAGCCCATGCTGTACAGTTAATCACTAGCAACGTGATTCTCATTCAGCAAGGTGTGCCAGCGCTCGATCTTCTTGTCTTTGTTCTTCAGACACTCGTACCAGTGCTTCAGCCGCTCCCCTTTGGCGGTGATGCCCAGCTGACAACCACCTGTCAGAGAAAATGTGCAGGTGGTGAGCAGACGGACGTTTTTATTCCTGCACAGTAATGTGGCACCAGTCAAATATTTACCAATGTAATCATTGGATTTGCCAATGTCGTAATCCCACACAGAGATGTCCAATGTCTTCTTGGCCAGTTCGCTGTGTTTGATGTCAAAACTGAACTCCTAAAATTTGAATCCAAATAAAAAAAATAATCATTTGTAATTGCATAACCAGCTGATTTTGTAATGAACTTTCTTCCAAACCTCATTAAATTCTGGGTTCAAAGTCCTCTTCTTGATTTGTGTTTTGCACTTTCCTTTCTTCCCCATGTCGGGTTTCAACACTCTGCAAAAAAGAAATGCATAAAATGTCATTTTCTGCTGTTTCCAGAGTCATCAGCTTGCAGGATGACATGATAGGTTTTCACTGGCTCTGCCTACATTTTGACATATGGGTCAGAGTAGCCATTAGCGTCCATGGCAGCCAGGTGAACGCAGCGCACAACCCCCACGATGAGACGGTTCAGCTGGGTGCTGTACATGAGTGACATCAGAATCCGACCGCGCTCCTCTGCCTCTGTGCCATCTTTTCCTGGCTAAGAGAGAGCAGAAGGAGAAAACTAGCTTAATGTGAGGTCTGTACCAACCTCTGGAGGAATCTGTCACGTTTAAACATGCTCGTTGCCTCATCTTCGTAGAGTGCAATCCCTCTGGCTGTTCCAGCTGTGGCTGTTCTTTTCGTCTGTGACGGGGGAGGAGATTACAGCGGGTCACTGTGAGATTAGGTAAAAAAAAAAAAACAAGAGTCGCCTGATTCTTTAATCGTCTCACTCACGGGCACAACTCTCTCTAGGCAGACATTGAAGTTTTTCTTTTGATTCATCTTCAGTTTCTTCAGCGCCACTCGGGTTTCCCCTATGAACTCATTGTGCCCAAACTTGTCTTCATCACAGACAGAGACCCTGTGCAAATGATCAAGAAAAATGTTAATTATATAAAGTGCCACCAAAGAGCAGGTGGAGTTGCTGCAGAGAGGTGTTTGGGTGTGGCTCAGGTAAATTACCCACCTGAGGGTCTTGCGCTGCATGTCGTCATCTGTTAGACCATGATAGGTGAGTGTCTCGTTCCACACGGGGTTTCGCGTATTTCTCAGGGTCTTTGTGCGCAACTTGTTGGACTATTGGATGTCAGGTACACCCGGACAGAGAAATACTGAATTACAGCTGAATCTGTCATGCAAACGTTCATTTATGTCATTAATTCAACCTAAAGGGTGAAACTAAGATATGAGATAGACTCATTACATGTAAAGCCAGAGATGCCATGGCTTACCGCTAATCCAAACCCCAAATTCTAAATCTCAGACTATTAGAATATTGTGAAAGGATTCAATAGACTCAAAGTGTCACGCTCTAATCAGCTAATGAATCCAAAACACCTGCAAATGGTTCCTGAGCCTTTAAATGGTCTCTCAGTTTTAGCTGAATTACTGAAATAAATTGACTTTTTCACCATATACTAATTTTTTGGAGTTTCATCACCAGTAATGTTCTAGATTTGGTCATGTGAAACAGCCACAAGGTGTCAGGCTTGAGCTGTCAGAGGTGCTTCATCAAACTAAAAAGGTCCAAAAAAGTCTCGAACTTTCTTTTTTTTGGCTTCTTCTTTTACAAAAGACATTAAGGTATTATTCTTTTTCTTTCTTTTCTTTTTTTTACCTTACTAGCTCCTGGCAGCAGATGAAGCTTCACGTAAGGATCTGCCAGTCCATTTGAGTCCATGGGCTTCAGTCCCTGAGATGGAAAAAAAAGAGCAAAATGTTAATGAGATCAGAAGCAGTAGAAAGCAATTAAACTAAAGTGCCATTCAGGAGCTTTTCAACACCAACCACTTGATTGAAATGGTGCTTTTGTGCGAGAGAACGAGAGTGTCAGAGCTACCTTGGCTTTGATGATGCTACAGTGGAGGCTGTTGCTTTCCTGATCGTAGAGGAGACCGAACTCCAGAGAGCCCAGGGTAGCTGAAAGAGACCCAGAGCAGCTGTAGCATTAAACTAGGAGACAGTACGCCTGTTTTCAAATAATTAAAAGTAGAAACGTAGAGATTTTCCTGTAATTAAACAAATCTAATCTTCTGAATTAAAGTGACAGTGTGTAGTTGCCCTGGCGATAGGGGGCGGTAGATACCTAAATCATTGCAAGCAAGCATTATTTTTGTGTTCAAGTAAGACCTTACCAACGAATGGCCATTAGGGTTAAAACTTCCTGGGAGTGCAACCTCCAGCAAAATAACAAGAACATCAGATTCCCTTTCATCACTTGCAATGAGCGAAGAGGTAAATGTGCAAAAGAGCATTTATTAATGCTGAAAGTTTTGTAACCATTTGTTACAAATCAGTAAATGCATTCTGTCCTCATGGGCTTCCATAGAAGGAAACATAGCATCCAATATGGCGTCGCCCAAAGACTGGCACCCGCTCCCATGTATTTTAGACCCGATTTTTATGGTTATATGTTATGAAACCACCAATATTTTCCAACAACTGTGGCATCTTTTAATTCATTTACAACAGCATTTGAATGGATATTTCCAGAGATTAATGGCAAAAACTACACATTGTCACTTTAAAGTGTAAATAAAAACCAAGATAGACTGAAAAGAGGGCAAAAAATTCTTTCCTTAAGAAGCTCGTACATTGAAAAAGTTAGAAGCACTTTACATAAAACAAATAAACGCTCAAGTCTCAGTGGAAAACATTCAGAGTGGGATAAATAACGATGGCGAGCGTGCCCACACAGAGTTTCTCTGGAGGAGTTCACATAGCTGGATGCTGCATGGGGGACAGACTAATCAAATGTGATCTGTTAAGTAGTCCTAAAATGTTTATTAACATCGTCACGCTTAGCCTGGCAAGCCATCCTATTTATCTGAATATATTTGCTAAATTATTTTGCTTCGGCAAATGACGGTCTAGATTCTAGGCTACTTCATGCTTGGATTCACTTTTAACTGCAAGTACATTATGTTCCTTTTGGTGATAAATAAACCTTCATCAAGACAAGTGCTGTTTATTACTGACATGATAAACCCTTAGAATAAAAATGACCTAAATAACCAACCTAGTTTCATTAAAGGTGTGGGCTACTGGTTTAGTCAATACATTTGCAGGGGTCTCTAGTAGGAATGAATGCCTTCCAAGTTGTAATCGGGGGAAATAAGCTCAGATGCGCTCGTTTCAGGAACTAGCAGAATGTCACGCGAGAGGAGAGCTTAATATGATACGATTTGGAGTCTTATCTCTTGACATTTGAACATTTGACCTCTGATTGGCTAACAACAACACAACTCAAACATTGACTCAGTTTTCTCTGCAATGTTGATGTTTTATCTCCACAAACAACTAAAACGTGGAGGAGTTCTGCCATGTGGTGGAGTTGCTGATGCTAATAGTTAGCTTCTGCAAGCCGAGACTTTGTCTACTGTGTCCTGGAAACTAAACCAACAACAGCCTTCCCTGTCACGATCCAAGATGAGTGGGTCCATGATGTTAAGTGAGAGTGTGACGTAGATCTGTCAGAATTTTCAAATCCTAGATTTTCATTGTCTATTTTCTATCAGAAGCTAATACAGGAGATAGGTGCAGAAGACTATTTCCATGTTCAGCCTGAATGAAAAACTCAGTGTAACTGATTATAATCAGAAAAAATGGCTAAAAAAGTTTTTTTCAGTGTTCCACACCTTTAAGTTGATGGAGATTAGCCTTTTTAACAGACTTCATGTATATATTTAATGTTAGATTTCATTCTTTCAATGTGCATTTTACATTTGACAGTCTTAACCCTAATGAAATGTAAACGTTGTGTGTTCCCTTTCCATGGGACAACGGACCGATATCAGCCTTTGGCTATAATCTGACATGTTTAACAAGCGCGTATGTGTGTTGTTCATTGATAGGTACTGTTTCAATCAAATTATCATTTATATTTGATTAAGCTTTAATACTCATGTCATTTAAACCAACCAGTCACCAAACTGAGACGCTCCTCAGAGAACAGTCATACTAACGTATTTCTGCTATATTTCCTGTTTGCTCCGGATCTGAGGGGAATTCTGGCCCTGTTCAATCTCAAATTATCTGCACAGCTCTACAGACCTGAACCTAAATGAAAATAAATCAAACCCATTTCTGACTAGAAGGAATGAAGCCATTTTGTGGTTGTAGGCTCAGTACATACATAATTGGACAATGTAACAGTCTTATTCTGCAGTTTTTTATTGGCTCACTGGCTCTTTGGGTCTTCCTCTCATCTCTCTAAGATAGATCTGCACATTATTGATTACTGACAATGTTCTTCACCATCTGAAGACTTGTGGGTTATACTGTAAGCACACTGAAATGAATGATTTCCAACATGGAGTTAAATTTAAATCAGGGCTTCAATTGAAAAGAGGGCAATTAAATGTAATGAGTGGAAATAATAAAAAAAACTGTTGACAAAATAAAATGAAACAAGACATATCCCCACAAGATGCACTCACTGGCTTCATCAGAGTCATAGTCATTGGCTTCATCTTCATCCTCAGCTGGGGGAGGCTGCTGCCGGGGGGGAGGTACACTGTAGGGAACAGGCTGCCTCCTATCCTCTTTTACTGCAGGAGGTGCTCTCTGCTCTGGAGGAGCTGCACCAGAGGCGTAGGCACCTTTATCTCCTCCTACAGGACCTGCAATCAGATCCAGTAATCCGAGGCAGCATAAAATGATGCCGCTGGCAACACAGCATTCATTTAATGATCAACACTTCCTGTAAGGAAACAAGCTGTTTCTCACCCTGCTGGGCCATGGCAGCTGAAGCAGCAGGCTGCGGCCTGGAGCTCTGTACAGGCACCATCTTCTTCATCACCACCGCACTACCTTGACCTGCCTCTTCAGGACCAGCACCGCCCGTGGCCATGCGCACAACAGGTTTAGGGGCAACAGGTGGGTAACCAACACGGCCTGGTGGCTCTGCAGCAAAAATAAACAAGCATAAATGATGCACGGAGGCTTGCAAAGTGCAAATAAGCAACGGCGCCAGATCTTTCTGGATACATTTGATGTTGTAGGATTTTATGATCCAAAAGCGCTGACCAACAGCCACTGTGGGAAGCCTGTACATGCAGCAGCCATGCTTCTGCCTGCCATTGCAAACCCTCATTTTAAAGGGATAGTAAGCAGTTTTGCTTGATTTTAGCACCCCCTAGTATCCATTATTAATTGTCTGCGATCGAACTGAAAATGAAACATCTCCTGCGTTCATCTTTTTAACAACTTACTGTAATCTAACTACTGAAATGTCTCCCAGCCTTCATTAGTGTCTTCAGGAGCGGTTCATCACTAAATGAAACAAATCAGCTGAGTTCATGATCTAAAACACGCAGGAAATGGGCTTGAAACAAACTGCTGTTCCAGGTGTCGGCTAAAAAGTCCAACAGGTGGTAACCAGTCTGAAGTTGCAAGTGTGATATTCTCGCTACAGAGGGTGGTGTGGGTGTGAGTGACATTTCATTAACCCTGTTAAGTGTCGCTTTAGCACATACCAGCTCAAGAAAACAATTTAAAAATATGAAAAAGTTGCTTAGTATCCCTTTAATGGCTCAATCAGATTGCACAGGTAAGCCTACAGAGAGTGAGAAATTAAACCATTTGACCCATCAGGCCAGCACCAAGTGGAGGCTAATGTCACAGCGTGCAACTTCCAGCTGGTTAATTGAGGACTTCATCCCTTCTTCTGCAACAGTGGGTGGCACTGCCAAGTTTGGGCAGCACATAAAAGGTCTTAATGTTGGAACAGAAGTGGGGCTGGATGGTGAGGAAAGCTGAAGAGGCGATGCTTCAATCAGTGAAAGAAAAACTGATGTCTGTTTATAAATCAACAAATTCATAAAACTGTTCCCATGCATTCCTCTGTATCCATTACCGGAGCCAGAATGAGGCTGTTTCTGCTTAGTTATTTCTTGGGGTTTTCACAGTGCATAGGAGCTGACGACGACTCAGCACATGTTGAAATAAAAGTGACAAACTATGCAACAGCTCTCCAGCTTTCAGAGGAAAATAACATTTCCTGACCATTTAAAATGACTAACGCTTTCAAGAGGCCATCTTAACTTACTAAAGCTGTGCCATAAATGCAATTTTGTGTGATGACATCAGGACACGTTGCAGGGGAAAGTAGCACACATAGAAAATGACACAAGAGCCTGTTTCACATATTTTTTCCATTAATCTGACATCAGATGAACCAATCTCTTTCATGACTAGTTTAGTGAACTTCCACTGATTGTGGGACTGAATAAATAAAAGCAACATGGACAAAACCATCTTCCTCAGCAAAGACCTCCTCATTTTTTGAGCCATAAAAACTATATTGATCTGCATCCATTTTTATATGTTTGAATCTAATAAAAAAGAAAATGTATTTGAGTTGCAGCTGATGATCAGCTTCCTGTGTGATGTTGTACATTTATCCCACAAATGCTCATATTCCCCACTGATTCGTTTACCACAATGCAGCATGTTTCTTAGCTTGATGATAGCTATGGTGTCCAAATGACAGGCCATGGTGATAAAAATGTACATCTCAGCTAGTCTGAGCAGAGTTGTTTTATCATTTTAAAATAACTCTAAAACAATAAACAAAGTAATTCATTTGAAAGACAGCAGAACAAAGCTGAATATCTAATTCTAACCTGGTGGTTTATAAATTGATTGACACATTTTTAAAGTGTTTGCATGAAGGAAATCTCATAGAGTTGAAAGTTGTTTTCAGAAACAAAAACCAGATATAGTTCTGGTCTTACCTGAGCTAGCTGTTAGCATCTGAGCCTTGTCAAAACGGATCTACTAAACTTAACTTGTGTCTTTCCAGTGCCAGAAACAGGACTTAATAAGAGAGTTAGCAGGTGGACTCAAAGGTGCATTATGTAAGAATGACATCCTGTGGTCAAATGTGGGTACTGCAGCCCATGTTCAAAACACGGGGGACTTTCTCACTTCCGTTTTGTAATTTTCTTGCTGTTGCCAGTTACGAATCAGCACTAGATTGTTGATGATGAGCAAAGACAAGTCATACACAGTAAGTTGAGAAGTATAAATACATTTCACCGTAATGTTGAGTTAATAGGTAGCTGAGATGTTTTTTAGAGCAGCCGATTTCTGTTTCACCATTAGCATTGTTAGCTCAATGTTAGCCTCTAGCCTCCTTTACTTGATATTAGTGTAAAACAAAATATGTTGTGGCTTCTCAAGAAATATCTTCTGGGTTGTTCCTGTTACTGGCTTATGATCTTTACCTATCTTTGGTCCCTGGCCAGTGTTGATTTACAAATGCCAGTACTGCAGCAGCGACTCGTTGTAGATTCGGCAACCCCGCGGGCTCACAGATTGTAAACAAGACTACGTCCCTCTTGGCCATTTTGAAAGGAGAAAATCAAACAAGCCCCCAGCTGGCTGAGAATGAAATCTGTTTCAATGTAACATTACTTCTAACATGATTTAGACAGTAGCCTGTTTTGTGCTTATCTCTAACCTGAAAAGGGAGACTGGGCAGTTTTGGCTTGCTTTTAGCATCCCCTAGTGTCCGTTTAGTAGAACCAAAAGCAAAATTTATCTCCTCGCTGTGCGTTAGTCATTTTAAAGCCTTAATCTGAAAGCTAACATGTCTCCCTAGCCTTCATTAGTGTCTACAGGAGTGACTCATAACTAAATCAAACATATCAGCTGTGTTCATGATCTAAAACATGCAGGAAACATGCTGGAAGCAGACTGCAGCGCCGGTATGTCAGCTCAGTTTTTAGTCTAAACCAAACAGACCGGACTGGCACTCTGAAGTTGCAAATGGGGTATTCTGGCTACAGAGGATGGTGGGAGTCTGAGCAAATTTTAATTAACCCTATAAAGGGTCATTTTAGCACTCACTGGCTCAAGAAAATGATTAAAAAATATGAAATTGTTACAAAGTATCGCCATAACAGGTTGCACTTCTCAAACTGTTTGGTCTGAATTGTTAACTGGTAGGATTTGTATAGTGAATGCAACATGATGCATGCTAAGCACTTATTTACGAAGGGTGTGTTTCTCACACAAAAATGTAGGCGTCTCAATCACCAAATTAGCTCAAACATGGAGGCTTGGTAAAGATTTGATTCCAACGTTCTTTTATGTCACTGTGAAAAACACGTTATGTATGTTTACAAAATTTGAACTTTTTCCTGCTGTTTTCTGTTTTTATCCCAACATGCAAAATACAAACAATCTTCCAGAGCCAATGCATTTAACTCCTGTAGGTTTAATAGATGCCTGAGTATTAAACAAACTAACTTGCCTGAAACTTGCTGCTCAGAAGCAGAAGCTTGATTCAGAACTAATAGATAGGTAATGAAAACGAGCTGACACAAACCTCCAGGTGGACAGCTTTTGTAAGAAGAGCTGAAGGTGATTGTACCTACCGACTGGTTGTGGGTTTTTGCCCTCTCGCGGCTCAGAGGCTTTCTGCAGTTCCGCTGCCTCCTTGGCACCTGCCTCTTTTGATTTAGACAACGGCATGGGCGACGGCAGGAAATGCTTTGGGAAACCTTTGAAGAACCAGGCACCAGACCTCTTCCACACCTGAGAAGACAGAACAATAGATGTGTTATAGTCTCCATAATGGTTTATTTGGTTTTCAAATACTTTTTTATGCTTTTCAACACTCGCCTCTCGCTGTTCTCTGCAGATCTTGCACAGCCACACAGCGCGAGGCCGACTGCCACACTGTGTACCACATTTAGTACACATGTTCTACACAAAAAAGAAGAACATGAAGACAGCAGCTGCTAATTTGTATTAATTTCTTTATGAATACACAAATGATCAACAATTAGGTTTTTCCTAGCATTTGCTACCTTTTTGCAGTCCTCACACACTACCGAGCTGACCCCAGGTGAGCCCAGCTGCTCTCCACACAGCAAGCAGCGCGAAACTCCATCACCACACACCGTCTTCTTTATGTCATCCAGGCGGTTTATCAGGCGCCTGCAGCAGCACAGAATAAAACCTTTCCTACGTATTTAAACTGCAGCTGGTGAAAACCTCTTTTTTTTTTTAATCAAACTGTTACCCAATTCTTTCCTGCTCCATGGCTTCCATTTTCTCAGCACGGGCAATCACGTTGTTTATAACCTCCTTTTCTTCATCTGTCAGGTCTGGGCCAGGACCAGGACCGGGCTGGAGGGTCCAGTTCCCCCTGTCGGTCAGAAGCGGTCACCATTTTAAAGTTGTCATTTCAAAACTCTCCATTTGCATGCAAATAGATCATGCAGCATTTTCTGTTGCTTTCAGAACATCCAAACATGAGAAACGTGTCTACTTACTGCTCTTTATCACTGTGTCACGGATCACGCATCAGGAACAGGTGCAGGTGAAACAAAGCATGACACTTTTAAGTATGTTATCTCTAATCAAGGACAGAGACTAATAGAAATATTCTGATGACTATCCTCACCTGGGATGCATGCTCCTCTGCCTGTCGTTGGACACCCAGCGACCTGAGCCGCCGCTCATCACTGTGTCGGTCATGCTGCACGACTGCAGTCTGCAGGTGGAGGGACCAAAAATAAAGAAGAAGGAGGGAACACATTTAGCAGATATCAAGTATAAGAGGGTGCCAAATGAGTATTTAGAGACACAATGATGTGTTTTGGGCCAAACTTTTCTCACACTGCTGCCTTTCACAGTAATGGAAACACAAAGAAGACCATCATAGACCACAAAAATTGGAGAATCAACAAAACTCAAGTATGGTTTCCAGAAAAAGCCTGCTTGTTGTCTCAGAGTTTGCACATCAAGCCTGAAAAACACTGCAGCTTTCTGTGGGAGCAGCATGTTTTCTGAAGCCAGATTCACACAGCCTAATTAGCACCACCTCTTGGTGCCAATCCTGTGAATCCAAATTAATTTCACTAAAATATCAGAATTGAGCAGTGGAGAGACTAAAAGGCAGCCTCTGAAGGAACCATACAGGCGTGCTTTTTACTGGCCAGTAAATAGGAAGCCTAAGGTATGCTTACATGTTCAGTCATGGGAGCTGTTGAGTGTGCATAACACTTTTGACAAACTTTCAAATGCATTAGCAAATGAAAGAGAAATAATGCTGAGGTGGGTGGCCTGGGTCGCTTGAATTTATGTGCACGTTCTAGTAAGAGCTATGGAGAAAGGGCTGAACATATTACGGTGGTGTGGTAAATGAATTGTGTTGCTGTAAGAGAAAGAAGGAGAACCGGACGTGAGGATGACGAGCAGGAGCTCGTGCCAAAGAAAGGGCAGGGTGTTGGATGTAACAAGGGCTGTTGCTGTATGATTTATTCAGAGTTATCCCCCTCACGGTGCAATCGGCCCCAAGCTCTTTGTAGACATGGAGGTCTTGTGTTACTGCTGGTGTAAAGGTGAAATTTATGTGATCAAAGATAGGTTGTGTAGCCGTTCATGAGTGCACTAGGCAAGGAGCAGAGTGATATGAGGGAAAGGGTGAGTGTTCTGCACATCTGATACACTATCACTGTAATTCAATGAAACAAAGACATCAACCAAAGAGCATGGCGGGTCTGCAACACTTCAAGTCCCTGCCAGGCTTTGCACAGAGCAATGCTGCAGCCGCAGTTTGTCCTGAGGAGAGGTGGCAGCGTTCAGAGAAGACTGGCAGACTCCAAACAGGATCAACAGGAGGAGCTAAAAGCCTCTAGAGCCTCAGATATAAGGCTTTCTGATGGTGCACATTGAAGAGAGTGCTAGAAAGAGCAAGAGAGCCATGCCGAAGAACATCTAATGATCTCAAAAGAAAAAAAATCAATGCATTTTGTTTGTGTTCAGCAATAAAATCAAACCCTAAAGGAAGTGAAAGAGACAGCAAAAGGAGAGGCAGTCCCACTGCTGCCCTTTTTCCTGTTATGCAACATAATGTAAGGCATCAAACATTCTGGTTTCTAATTTTTAGACTGCCTCCCTGTGAGATTCACAGATCAGCAACAAATTTGCTGCGCTATCAAAATCAGCTAGGTTGTTATTACCCTTTGATGCTTCTGCTGCATAAAACCAACATTAAAACAGACATCAGGGTGTCACACTCTGGGTTTTTCTATCGTTTTTATTGTACTTTGCTTTAGTTCTCGTGCTCTGAATTTTTATTTTTTAATTTTTTGATCTCAGTTTGTTTAAAGTCAGTTTATGACATGGGATCAGCATGACCAAACCCCCACCCTCACCTAATACCTGTTTTTTAAAGCACCAAAGACCCGTGTTGAGGTGTCTTCCTGATCCCTCACAAGGCTGACTCAAGACGGGCACCCTGGTCTTTTTATTCCTGGGGGGTCAGCTGTTCTTCATGGTCCTTCTTCATCAAAGTCTCTTAACTGAACTCAGTCTGACCCCTCCCTGAGAATAATGGATACGTATTGTGACCCCAGATTCTATAGGCGGAACCCTTTCAGGCTATCCCTATTCTGTGATTGGCTAATTCAAAGAAATTACCTGTAGCAACAAGCCTTAAAGGGTAAAGCCTTTTTGAAATAGAACAATTTTCCAAGTTAGAACAAATAAGGAGCAGATGCCTGAGTCACAAAAGTATCATGAGGATACCTAAACCCCTGCACAATGTTTACAGAGGGGAAAATTTGCAAAGAGAATTTTTTTTCATTTACTGGTCCATCTATGTTCTGACCTTCACCTTTGCTTGTGCAACTTGAATCGTGTCCAAAAGAAAGAGATTTTGGACGCAAGTTGATGAAATTAGCTTCATCTTTATTTGGTGAAGAGCTCCACCATCCAGAGACAGCTTGAAGTAGAAATCTGAGGTGGTTGGGGGATGCCTCTCTTTCCAGGATTGTGCACTCGCAAGAGGCATTTTTGTCCTCTTATCCAGGGTCGGGTCACAGGGGCAGTAGCCTAAGCAGAGAGGCCCAGACGTCCCTCTCCCCAGCCACTTGGTCCATGGATCTTCCTTTGGGTCTCCTCCCGGTTGGACGTGTTGGAATACCTCACCAAGGAGGTATCCTAATCAGATGCCCGAGCCACATCAACTGGCTCCTCTCGAGGCGGAGAAGCAGGGGATCCACTCCAATCTGTCCTGGATGACCAAGCTTTTCCCTCTGTCCCTCTCTCCACCACGACAGACCAGTGCATCACCAGCATCACTGCAGACGTAGCACTAATCCATCTATCGATCTTATTAAGTCCAACACCCAAAATCGGGAAGGGAGGAAAAATGAAAATGAAATCTTCTGCCATGTCTTGTGTTTAATTCCTAGACTTTTCTTCACCTCCTTATCTCTGATTGGTCTGCATTTGAGTCCCCTTAAACACTATCTTTGTCACAGGAATTATTTTCTCCACCTTTCCAGCAAGAATCTGACAGATTGCAAATTACTGTGGCTCTGCCGTACATTTAAAACTGTCAGGATTCAACCCTCTACCCTAGACAAAATGAATTATCCCACTTTTACTTAAATTCACTGTCCTGCACAGATGAAAGGGGACAGCTAGAGCTGTGGAGAAACTAGCCTGAGTACTCTAGAGGGAGTAGACGCTTCTGTATCAGAAAATATGTTTTTTTTTTTCTTAACTGACATTTCAGTTAACATTCAGACAATATTCTGAACTGGAACTCTAACAGCTCACACACACACACACACACACACAGACACACACACGCACGCTTGTCTAAAAGAGCTGTCGGTATTAATGATGCCTAAGGTGTGGATAGGTGCCGCTTAGGTTCATAAAGTCTAATTATAATGAGTTATTTTGATCATAATGTCCTATTAGTTCTTGTTATTCTGCATGTATGACATCACTGTGACCGCTGGAGTCCATTTTCTGAGCTGCAGAGACTATAAATGCAACATATCTGCGTCATCTGTAGCCCTGACTTGGTGTAATAGTCATCCAGCACGTCTTTCCACCTGTAAAAGATGACTCAGTCAGTTGGTGGATTTGTCGCTGTTGAATAACAGATTTTCTCCTGTGTATTTTTTGTTGTTTGTTTATCCAGAATGTAAGCGTCTGTGATGATGCTTTCAGACGTTGCAGGCTGAAAAGGGATATCCAGCACCTGCTGAAGTATCCACCGACACTGAAACAGATCGTGAGACGACAACAGGAAAGACCAGAGGGGAAGATTCGATTCAAGACATTTTCCGTCTTACCACCGCGCTCGCTTGCTCTGTGTGTGTGTGTGTGTGTGTGTGTGTGTGTGTGTGTGTGTGTGTGTGTGCGTGCGTGCGTGTGTGTGTGTGTGTGTGTGTGCGTGCGTGTGTGTGTGCGCGTGTGTGTGTGTGTGTGTGTGTGCGTGCAGGCGTGCGTGCGTGCGTGCGTGCGTGCGTGCGTGCGTGCACAAAGAGGACCAAATTAGATGCTTGTCTTAAAGCCCAAGGGCCGACAGGAAGTTCTCAGGTCTGGAGCGCATGTATTTTTCCATCAGCTTTTGGGATCTCAGCTATTCAATCTGTGTGGATTCTTTAAATAAATCTTCTGATTTTCAAGTCTTATCAGGCTTTTGCACAGATTTATTTGTTTAAATACTACAAGTATTCATAGAGGCAGAATACATGAAAAGAAAAGAAAGAGGCTGGTAAGAAAGCTCCTTGTTGTGGTGGCAGCTCAACGTTTTGTGAAGTTTTTACACTTGCTTGAGGAAATGGCATCTGAGAAAAGCAGGCAGAGTGACACCAAGACAGCTGTGCATTGATGGATTGGTCTGACTTGGATCATCATGAACAGAGCACAGAGAGGGGACAGAAGGAAGTCATCTCTCTATAAGGTCTGTCCAAAAAACATAGCCAGGGTTTCAGTTTAATTACGAAACAAGGCACAGCCAAAACTCCACTTCATGAAGTCACGACAGCTGAAACTAAACAAACACAGTGAATAATATTTTGATAACATAGTATTGAAATGACTAAATGAATCCACTGTTGCAAGAGCAGTGTTGAATCCCCCAGAAAAAAACAATTTACACTTTCTTTATCGACCAATGCATCAACTTTGCCACCTCTTAATCCTGTGTTTGTGAGGTTTGAGGAATTAGTTTCACCGGGTTCAAAGCCAGTTCATGAACCTGACAGCCTCAGGTATGAAACTTTTACTCAATCTTGTCATCTAGGCTGTAAACGTAGCTCAGCCTTCTGCCTAAAGGAAAGAGGGTGAATGACTCTGGCTGGATGGGTTAAGCCCATCATTAGATTTATTTTTGCTGTGGTTCTTCATCTGCCTTGTCAGTATGGAGAATGACAGGGTACTAAGGACCAAATAGGATGCTGGTGGTGTTACTGGCCCATTTAAGGGATTAAACTGGAACTTTTCCTACTCGTCCACCTACATCTTTTTCATTTTGGCCACATTGATGCTTAGGTTGTTTGACACACCAGACATGTCTGTGGCATCGAGGGCCCTTTGCAGCCCTTGGAGGGATTTTCTGCAACCCCCAATCACATTTCTTGAATGGTGCAGCATCTGTTGAGGCAGATGGATGTTTTTAAACATTTTTATGTTCAGATTTTATTAATATGCCTGTTTTGGGAAATACGTTTTTTTAAATCACCA